TAGCCGACATAGGACTATGTGGGGGTGGGTAGGAAGCTGGATACGGAGGAGCTCTGCCATGAGGTTCAAATGAAGAAAGAGGCCTCCCGTATCCATCATGATGTTGTAGGGACGGGGGGTTTACATGGTGATCGCCCCCATTTCCAGTAGAAGGTGGTCGGAATTGGGGCTCATCTGACGGATCTCTCTTTATCATGTTTCGTTCTTGTTGTCCCACATAAGCTTGGGGAGGATGAGGATGATGATACACATGCGATGGTCCAGAGCCTGACCTGCGGGGATCTTGGTCGTATGGTGGGTGGTCAGTATGTACTGAAGGTCGGCGGCCCAAAAGATGGGGGTCAGAAGGCCGAGAGGAGAATGGAGAGTGGTGTTGGTAGGAAGCTGCAGAGGTCGGTACAGGAGGAAGTTGTCTCGAGGTCTCTGTAGAACTTGGCCATGGTGGAGGAGCAGGAGGGTTCAGCCGGGCACGCTTCACGTCCGGGCCATCGTCCATTATAGCTAGCTATTCACGCAAGACTCAAGCGACCACAGCAGCAGAGGCCATTGACGGCAGTCGAGCACGGCGGCTTACAGGTTCTCAGCGAACACAGAGATATGAGGAGCTTGGTGAGAGATCATTTGCGCTAGAGGTAGGACAGGCCGACGTGTTGATCATGTGTGTCATGTAACGCGTGCCGTACGACCGGGTTTCGTGAAAGGCTTGGAGGGAATCTGATAAGAGAATGGCAGATCAGTATACGTGCAACGGCCTAAAGGTTAAAGCATGAAAGTCGAAGCCATCGCCAAAGTGAAGCGGCAGGCATAAAGCTTAGAGACCGGATAAGTACCTTTGGTTAGGCGCGATTGGGCGTGTCCCAAGCCGCCCAGATCTGCAGACGAGGATCTTCTTTCCAGAATGTGTACGAAATACGAGTAAATGCGAGATGCGAATCGGAGGCGTTGTGCGAGAGTCTCCTCTGTTACTCTGTGGTGGGTTGTTACTTTGGACTGTTCGTCGAAGAGCACGCAGGGCGAGCAATGGTTCTAGCTTGGTATGGGTATGGGTATGAATGGCAGCCGCCAGCACCCGCTCGGCCAGGAACGGTAATGCGGTGCGGGACTCAGTAGGAGGGACTACTGTAAGTCTAACGTACCAATTCGCAAAGCCTTGGAGTCTAGAGATCGGATCACAGCAGTTTGGTCGGTCACACTTGATAGTCTTGGGCACGACGGAGGGAATGAGCTGGTCAAAGCCAAGTCACGAGTGTTCAAGAAAAGGCAAAGTACAGAAATTGATAAAGTACCGTCCTACTTAGTCGGCAAGGCGGGTATGCCCTAGGTCCGGTGATAGGATAGGGGCAGAGATCCCTGCGGCTGTTTGCTGCGAGATGCAAGGATAATGGCTGCTCTGGTATCAACAGCTTCTGCGAGGCTCTCTAGTGACTACAGAGCGGGCGGGCGATGATCGATAAACCAGAAGTCATTGGGCACCATCAGGTTGCAAAATACTTCATATGCCGAGTAGGAAGTAGTATGTGTATGTCTACCTCCGTAGGTGAAGGTGAAGTGAAAGGTGGGACAAACAGCCGTCAGCACCCAAGAAACATAAACCCCCTCAGTGCGTGCTCGAGCACGAGCAATCAATCGTCTCTGTGCCCGCCGGCCTGTGCGATGAAGAATAAGTATTGCCGAAAACCGAAATTGCTATTATACCGTATCTGGACGGTGGCTACCGAATCTAGTTCCAGTAATCAAGTAATTAATCCGATTCTGTGCGGAGTAATGAAGATTTTTGACCCTTATGCCTGCCTGCTCTGCCCTGCCCTGCCCCCCTGCCTCCCTGATTTTTGTCTGTCAACGGAGGAGAACGTTGGCCAGGATATCAAAGTGGATTTTATCCCCCCCCCCCCCTCCCCCCAGCAGACCAAGGCCAGGGTATTCGCGCGAGGCGTCCACAACCACCAGAGTGATAGCTGGGTCTACAGTAGACCCAGCTCGGTCTAGCCCCCGATGGCAATAAAAGCAGCATGCGCTGAAGCCCGTATCTACTTCGTACCTGTAGGTAATTCATACAGAACCCAGTGGTTGACTGCATATCCGTATTTGTGAGCAGAATATCTGGTGTCTGTTTGGTCGATTCATTGTGCGAGGCCCATATATCGGTACCCTTTTTATCCACTTTGATGTTGATCATCAATCCTCCAGGAGGTTGGCTTATCGTGTGCGTGGGGCTCTGGAAGTCCTAGTCATTCCTCTTCTGCGTACAGTACGGAGTAAGTACCTACGGAGCGTAGGTACTTCGTATGATGGCGGGTCCGCTTACAGAGCTCGCTTGAACGGCCTGCCGCCTGTCAACCAGATTTTGCAGGCCCTCCTGGTCCAAGCGAAGGCCAAGTCCTGTTACCGATCCCAAGGGCATGGACGTGGGCATGGGCGTAGACATGGGACTTCACTTCTTTCAGCGAATCGAGTTTCGGGCTTGGGTTCTTTCTTCAAGAGGAAACTACTTCGTACTTGGTCAAGACAAGCCGTCTCCAGACTCCAAGCGGTGGCGGGCAATAAACTTTCACGTCTTTTCGAAAACTTGATCGAAAGGTGGATCGAAAAGTGGCCGGGAGGCGGGAGGACCTGACCAACTAGAGCTATAGACTGTTTATTGCTCTTTTTCCTAGTCTAAAGCGTATTAAAGCTACTTGCAATTAGGGCATCGGCACTCGTTATACTTAAAGAAGGATAATTAAGAAGAAAATTCTTTAGCTAACGCTTTTATTTGATTATTAGAAGTAATATAATTACTACTATTATTATAATATAAGCTATAATATAGATCTTATAATATTTAAAATAGGCTTAGACACGTACGTATTAGGCTTAGCCGATGCTTATGTACTTATCATTGATATATGAATTCAATAAGGGTATTTTGATTGATTTCTAATTAATTTATAAATCTAATGATATTTATATAAATATCAATCCCCTACTTGCAATGATCTTTCATCATCTGATCGACTCAACCACGACTCAACCACGTTCTGTAACAAATAAGGAGCGGTTTCAGCATGATAGGATCGGCGCAGCTTACTCCTGTCTGCACTCCGTACGGACTCACGGAGTATTGCTCGGAAGGAAGCGTGCCCAATAAACATGGCGTTCCTGAAAATAGCTCTGGTTGGTCTCTTACCTAGTGAATACCGAGTTACCGAGTCATGATTTATGAATCTTCACAAATCAGCTAGTGTTCGGGGTATTTCATATTATTATATATTTGAGTACCAGTCGAAGCTTACAAGTTACAACTTGCTAAACATCGCGGAGTCGCGGACGAGTCTAGCCACAAAAATCGTTGCGGAATTTGCGAAATCGGTGGCCAACGTGCAATTTATCTCAGACCAAGCCGGCTACCGAATACTTTCGTACCTCCACTGTCCTCCAGGGGCTACCCTGACTAACTCTCACCGCTGATGCAACTCTTCTGGCGATGACGCCGTGACGGTTCGTTGTTGGAACCACGGATTAAGGTAAACTTTGTATGTGGACGATAAGATCTAGAGCTGGGTCCTTCCCTGCATGGGGGGTTTTTCTTCGACAGATTGCTTCTATGGAGGTACTGACTGTTCGTATGACTACCCCGCCGGGCCGTGAATGTCGGGTGATAAACTCCACGCTCTTCAATATCGGCACATCGGCACCAGCTTCATAAATTCAGTGTTGTTCCTTTTCACCTAGCCGTACTGTACATGAGGTTGAACTTGAAGCTGTAAAGTTATCCAAGTTTTCTGTAGGTCATTTTGGCTTATTGTTCACCGCAGATCCAGCATGATTTACCCGTAGGAGGACCCTCACTTGACCGCTCTTTGTTTTCAGCTGATTATAAACAGCGGGTCGTTGAACTTTGCCCTATACTTTTAGAGAGCTCATCCGCCGCAATGCAGAGAAAGAGACGGTATACCGTCACCGTCCCCTCAAACTTAACAGCCTCCCAGATTAACCCGTCCTCGAATAGCAATCAGGTGGAGGGGTAACGTTGAAAAGTTGCGAACTGCCAGACGCAGTACAAGGATACCGCTGTAGATCGATACGGAGGTACGGAGAAGTGAGGCTGCCAGTACTGAAGTGTCAGTGCCAGCAGGGTTGGAATAGGGCATCGGTCAGTGTGGAGAAGGTGCATGCCCCGGAACAATGCATTTCACCACATGGTTTGATCGGAAATTTCTCGATTTTGGACCCTGGAAGTTTGCAACAGATGCCGGTAACTGACGGTAGGTCTCCGAATGAGCCGAATTCGCTTATATGACTTGTCACGCCAAATCGTCCCAAACGGACATATTAGAATCGCCGATTGTCGAAGTCCCAGCATCTAAAAGAGCAGGCAGCTGCAGGAGATTTGAATTATGCGGAAGCAGGGAGACCACGTCCAAACTTCTTGCTTGTATTCTTTTGTGGCGCAACGCTCACCTGACCACTAATATAGCACTTGTAGTAATGTGGTCATCTTCGACAAACCCTTTCCCCCCCCCCCCCCCCCAACAATAGCAGACACCGCCAGACGTGACATGCGTGTCACGCATAATATGCATTACCAAAACATGAGGCTCACACGCTCTGCCGGTTGCCATAAGATAACGATCACGCGCAGCTGTTTTCACACCCTTGTAGAAATTGTTTGTTCTTGTCTACGGACGGAGTACCGAGTACGAGTACTAGTCATGATAAGAACGCACGCTTTTTCAAGGAACCCGTCTCGCAGTAGACACTCGGTTTCGATGTCATCAAGCCGAGAGATAGGACAGATTCGTGCACTGACTTCCATGATGGAGGGTTGGAGACATTGGGATGCGGCGAGGAAATTCCTCCAATCGCATGGGATTGGATGCAGCGTGGACGCCGTTGAGTAATACTCCGTAGCAAACCCAGCAGGTCCGGGGTGTCAAAACAACTCCCTGGTCAATGCCAAATTGCCAACACCCAGCCACTTCCAATCAGAATAATAGGCTTGAATCTTAGTAATATCGGTCTCAATCAATGTCGAAATTGACACTGGGTTCATAGAGCCGACGCTTCTTGGAAGCTCTGCTTTTTAATTTCCTGGTTGGTTTTGGAGTTCGAGATGCCTGCTGGGCCTTCGACCTTGGTAGAAATGAGTCTGCTATCCGCTCGCCCTCGGCGAAGACTAGATCTCCTGTCATAGATAGGCTAGAGGCTTCTTCCATCAAGATGCCGAGCGCTATCAAGCCAGTGTCATCAAGGCTCTTCCAATCTTGGGCTCCGCCGTCTGTAGTGTTTCGCAAGTAGAAATCAGACGCATAGCAGTGCAGGGCCTTGAGAAGATCAGACTCTGGCAGCTTGATACCAGGCCTCCTGTCGCTCGCGAAGTATATGTCATCTTCTGCGAACCTTGTTGGGGCATTCTTTCGGCGGAACAAGACTGCTTCAGGGGGTACTGGCGCAGCAGAACTTGAGGGGGTGTCTCTAGTGGAGGAGAATACTAATCGCTTCGGGATGAAGCCTGCTGAGGACACTCGACCTGCTTAGATGTTACAATGGGATTGACATGATACAATAGAATGGGTGTATCAAAGGTACCTGCTACGGCGTCATAGAGGGTTGCGGTTTGTCTAGCCTTGTTGTCTTGGAGGAGCATGTTCTGTTCGAGTTCGAAGGCACTTGGCGCCATTCGCAGTGTGTAGGTAGCACCGCCAGCACGTAGCAGATGGGTGCGCGACGATGAAGTAGTAAGTGCAAAGTCGAAAGGAAGGAAGAGGAAGATAGAATCTTGGGCGCGATGGCTGTACTACTTGTACAGTAGTCGTACTTTTGTAGTAGCGTGGATTTTATGGATTTTTTGAAGTTTCGCGTGGAATATCCGCCGCCATTTAAGTACTGTAAGTTACTGACCGGCATTTCCTCTTCGGTCTTCCCCAGGATCTACCCCTCGTGCTGGACACAAAAAGCAGCACTCATTATCATTAGATTCACGGTGTCCCGCTCCACATGACACGTTAAAAACCGGTGCCGCTTTTTCCATCTACCGTTAGACTGACTCTCTGAGCCGACTAACTACCGTTCATATGCGCGTACGAAGTGAGGACGAAGTATCGATATCGATACTGGAGTCAGCGTTTTCCCACCAGCAATAACCAGTCATTTTGAAGCCTATCTTCCTCACTATTCGCCCCTCGGCGCGAACGCACAAGCAACTAAATGGATGAATCAGCTCCTGTTTGAACGATCCACGGGCCTGCTAAGCCCTGAACGCTTTGCACGCATACAGACTACGCGACGCATCTATGCGGTCCAGTCTTGCTCGACACTGAGGTTCAATGGTGGTGAAAAAGAGGTCACCATACCGGAACATGACGCTAGTCAATCTTCTACAGGGCTTGAGCCGGTGGCATCCAAATTGTGGGCGCATCAAGCTGGGGTAACTGCGCTCGCGGTGGACATTGAGAACAGGGTCCTTCTTTCTGGGGGGCTTGATTCCTCCATAAGACTATGGAATCTGGAAGACTGTCCCACAGATGCGAAGCTCACCCTCAAGCCCACTGCTGCGATTTCCAGGCAAGTTTCCAACGGCCCATACAAGATATAGTTACTAACTACCGCCTAGAGCAGCATCAGCACACAAATTTGGCATTACACATCTCAGCTTCTATCCTTTCGACTCTGCGGCTTTTCTCTCTTCCTCGTATGACCACCATCTCAAACTATATGCTACAGAAACCCAGACAGTCTCAGCAGACTTCGATTTGAAGTCTATTATTTATACACATGCGCTATCCCCTATTGCTCAGCATGTGCTGGTAGCTTGTGCAACGCAGCATCCTGCTGTCAGACTCGTTGACCTCCGCTCCGGAGCAAACACGCACTCCCTTGCTGGTCACCATGGGGCTCTCCTATCTTTGGCTTGGAGTCCTACATTGGACTATATACTTGCGAGTGGAGGAGTAGATGGAACGGTGCGATTATGGGACATTCGTAAGAGCTCTGGGCAACTCGGTGTTTTGGATATGGAAGATTCAACTGGCATAGCTGGAACTGACGGTATGGGCAAAAGTTCCCGATCTCGAGATACAGGGAAAGCTCATCATGGCGCTGTGAATGGGCTTACTTGGACCGATGATGGCTATCATCTTGTCTCGGCTGGCCATGATGAGCGAGCACGGGTCTGGAATGCTGCTACAGGCGCGAACACGCTAGCTAGTTTCGGCCCAACTCTCAAGAACGGGCATTTATCAAACCTCCCTCTCATTGTGTCACCTACCGCTTCGACTCCAGCGGGCCAAGAGCTGCTATTCTACCCCAGCGAAAGAGAACTACTCGTTTTTGAGCTCCATCAAGGCAGACTTGTCAAACGCCTGAAAGTACCAGGACCCAATATAGCTTCTGTTAGGTCTAGGACCGGGGAGCGAAATATTAAGAATAGAATAACCGCACTCATTTTCAGAGGTCAAGCTGATGGCATTTATTCAGCTCATACCGATGGTCAGATTAGGGCCTGGCTTCCAAAAACAGCAGAAGATGATAGACTAGATATAGAAGAGGACAGTCTCAAACGCCATGCTCAAGGCGACGAGGACGAAGATGGGAGGAGAAAACGGCAGGTCTTGAACGATGTATTTACGGATCTGACTAGACAGAAAATCAGTTTCGGGTGAACCGAGTAACACTGTCCCAACTACCTCACCGGCAGAGAGTGATCGGCGTGATCATGGGGATGATCAATGGCATGATGGGGTTGGGTGTTATGATATGTCTGACGCTTCAGGAGGATGAGCGTCTCAGGCAGGTTTGCATATCTGTTAAGCGGTCTATCCTATCGATCGCATGTTTGTTTCCCAAGCATTCTCATAGACTAGTACACCTATCTATATCAAAATTTGTCACAACATATCACCCTCACTTGTGATCAGATATTGTCATGCCTCAATCTTGTATATAATGGGGCTTGAGCACTTGACAAGAGTATTGAAGCGAAACATAGTTCAACAAGCCGAGTATTCTATTATAATTACTTCCTTCTGGCTTTCCAAACTTCCGGTATTCGGGTAACGGACCTTGTTTCTTTGCGTCACCATCCAAGTCTGCAAGTTTTTCCGCAGATAACTCAATCTAGCTTCCCTCGATACTTCTTCCTTTCTAGGCAGGACGGTCTCGTTCAATTTGAGATATCAACAACGCTGACGCCCCTTGTATCTATCACTACTTGTAACATCATAGAGTGAAGGCCAAGCGGGAAGTCCACGAGCAATGAGCTCAGCTCTTACTAGCCTCCGTCGGGCAGGAAAGCTCCCTCAAACATTCTCATCTTCCTTCCCCTTCACAGGCCCCACATTGGCCACTTTCTCATCACCTCCCCTCTCCATCAGCTTCCCCCTCTTCGCCCTCCTCTTCTCATCAACATGGTCTCTCCAGCCCCGCCCCCAAGTAACCGCAGCCAATGTAGCCAAACTACTCACGACCAGAAACCCGGCACTGATTGTTGAAAACCATCCAACCCCGATCTTCTCGACGGCAGGTAGCACAGTCGCGCTGCCTAGCGCTGCAAATAGGTACCGGATCATATAATTGCCTGCAATGACTTCCGCGGAACTCGACTGCATCACGTCCAGACAGTACGTGTTGAGTGAGGGGAAGCAGAATAACTGTGCCACGCCTTGGCAGAACATCATGATGACCGGCAGGGGGATGCCACCGAATTTCTTCTCGATCGACCAGCCGTAGATCAACATGCAGGCTGGGATCACGATGCCTAGGAACGGGAGACAGGACCGCAGTCTGTCTTCGGGAACGCGGTTGCCGCCTCTTTTCTTGGTCCACTTGATGGTAATGTGGTCGGCGTATCGGCCGCCGAAAAACGTGCCGACTATATATCCACAACCGGGTGCGAGATAGAAGAGTCCGGACTGGATGGGCGTGGTGAGGTTGAAGCGGGGGTTGAGGATGTAGCGGATAGGGGTAAGAAGCGAATACATGTTCCAGACCAGCGACGAGGATGCCAGAGCCACCATTATCAGATTCGGGTACCGGTAGAGACGTACCACGCGCCATGGGTTGAGCATTCCCCACAGGATGGCTGCCTTTTTCTTGGTCGGCAGTCCGACTAACTCGTCAGATTTTATGTGGTGAGCTGTCTCCGGGAGTAGAAAGAAAGCTCCTAGGGCTGCTACGCCAGCGAGTGCAGTTTGCAGGTAGAAGATCCCACGCCAGGATCTAAAGGTGACGATTATGCCGCCAATAAAAGGACCAAAGGCAGGTCCGATCAGAGTTCCCGAGAGGAACCAGCCCATTGCAGTCGCTCGTTCCGTGGGCCTGTAGATGTCGCCGATGCAAGATGCACCGATGGTCAAGAACGATGTCCCTTCAAACGCCGTGAGGATCCGGAATATGTAGTAGGCGACGAGGTTGGGTGATAGTGCGGTACCGAGCGAACAACCTAGGAATAGGACGGCGGTTATGAGGCAAATCTATCAACGTCAGAGAGGATGAGCGCTTCACAAAAGGTGGGTAAAGAAACTGACAGGTCTTCGTCCGTACACCTGGCTCAGGGGCCCCCAGACACAAGGAGACAGTCCCATAAACAGCATATATAGAGCATTACTCAAGTTGATGATCGTCCCTGTGCTGTGATATGTAGCAGCAACTTCAGGGATAGCGGACAAAATCGTTGTGCTCGAGATTGGAGCAAGGAAACTGCAGAACGAGAGCAGGGCAACGATGATGACTTTTTTTGATGGTTTGATTCTGTCATATACTTCGTCTGGAACCTCAACATAGGACGAGTATTGTTGGATAGGGGCATCTTGCCCATGGGAGACGTGCGATTGGAAATGGGTCAGAGATGGAGGATGCTCAGCGACGCTCACTGTCGAAATGGAAGCAGAATCACCATGTGTTTGCGAGAGATTTTCAGACGACACCACGGGATTTTCATGGGGGGTCGGAGACATGATAAAGTATAAGTTTTAAACTATGATTCTGAGGTATGAACTCATATGATGATGGAAATATACAGCAGACGCGGTTGAAGTCTTCGTTCTGCTGGATCATGAGAGGCAAAAGAGAGCGTACGGGAATTGTGTCAATCCTTAAAAGCAAATTGTAATTATGGGCAAAATGAAAGAGCGTAGTGAACAGCCAAAGATATAAAGAAGCATCGTGAGTCAAATGCCTTGCTGGACATTGGACAAAACAAGGTGGTTGTCCGACAACGGCCAGCTCCAAGGTCGAACGAATTAGTCTCGCCGTCATGGCAAATTCTGCAACATGTTTTGCCTAGGTAGGCAAGGTTCAATTATCGGAGCACCGCAGTCGTTAGAATATCCTCAATCCTGCTGCTCTGATTTGTTTGTTTAGATTCAAAGACCCAAGGGTGCAGGCTAGTGCCGTCGTTGCCGTAGTATGTATTAATTACAGCAAGTATCGCCGCCGGCTGCAGTGCAGTGCAGTAAAGGAAAGAGCGTCGATTTTCGGGGGAACTCCAAATAAGTATAGAGCAATACTCGTACTCATCTTACCGCCTTTACTGATGACCAGGTAGTACTTTACAAGCCACTTGATGCTCTATACGATCTCAAGGAAAAACATCTTCCGGAAGGTTAAGCGTGCCATGCCGCGGTGAAAGTAAATCTTGCCCGCTGCATGAATCCCACTTTCAGATCAAAGAACGTGCATGCATGACAACAAATTCATGTCTGTGTTATCTTGCACGAATCATTCCTACCCTCTCACCTCTCACGTGGAAATCTCCGAAGAAGATACATTTTGAGTGCAGTGCATTATTAGAACGGACCCGAAAGATCAGATTGCGGGCCGCCACCTTCGCCCGTGTGCTTTTCCGGTCCGGAAATCTGATGTGCGGAAATGGATGGCCCTCTTTTATCCGATACCGCTTATTTTTGGTTCCGAATCAGGGCAACGGAGCTGAAGTAGTGTATTCACGGTCTAAGATTGTTGAGAAGTGTGGTTACACGCAGAGTCGATCCCTTCAAAAAAGAGTCAAAATTACATCAGTGATTTTGGGCTTTCAGGGGGGTTTCAAGAAGTTACCATAGAAGTCAATACTCCTGGTAGTTTATACGATATGTAGTGAAATATTTCCACTGTATATATATATTGAACCTCTTCTTGTTCTCATTGAGCTCGGATGGGTTGAGAATCCCCGTAGACTCCTCTCTAGACTATATCGAACACTTTTTGTAAATACCCATCGAATTTCCAAAATGCCAACTTCTCAGATACAAAATAAATCACCAGCCGCAATTCCAATATAGAGGGTAACGAGACTTGAAGTGGAATACCGCTTTCCCACACCCCTTCTCCTTCAATTCCTCCAAATCATTTCCTAGCCTCCTCACCACCCCAAAACTCCTCCACAATCTCCACAACCTTTCCTATATGACTCCTCACGATCTCATGTCCCGCTCTATCCACAACCTTCATCCCCTTCTTCCACTGTACACTCTCTAGTAATTCCCTCTTCATCATCTCCATTGGAAAAACCTCATCCTCGCCACCAAGCACAACCAGCGTCTCCATCTTACTTTTCGACAACTCCCTATACGTCTCGTGTAAATCAAAAACAATACCGCCCCTAAACGACCCTACCAGACTGGCTACATGACCACGATGATTCTTCATCTGCCAAATCTGCGCAGCTACAGGATCAATTTCTCCATTCTTCAGCCTCTCCTTCCACCCCTCTACAGGCCGCGCATCCAACCCCTCAATAGCGTCAATGATTTTCCTCTGAGCAAGCCATTCACGCCCCCACCCCCCATCTTCGATAAACGCATCGTACCAACTCTTATCACTCTTCTTCCACAGCCCAGCAGGAGCGACCAGGACCAGGGACTCCACGGCTGTCGGATGAGTGACTGTGAAGCTAGCTGCAATCGCACCCCCTAGTGAGAAGCCAAGGACATGAGCACTGCTCCATCCGAAGTGCAAGAGGAGCTCCAGCAGTTGGTGGTGATACAAGGCAGGAGTGTGCGGCGCGAGCGGGGTGGAACTTAAGCCATGTCCCCAGGTATCGTAAAGCACCACGTTCTCCCCTTTCCCAGCGAGTGCGAAGGCCAATGGTGCGATGCCGATAGCTGGTGTCCCACCACCGTGGACGAGAATTACATTTCGTCCAGTTGGGGGAGAGCTGGGTTTGAAGATGTAGTAGTGGGTATAGCCCCAGGAGGAGGGAATAGTTGTGCCTGGAGGGAGGAGACCGCCGAACTCTGCATCGAATGATTCGGGGGAAGGAGCGGGGATATGGTTTAGGCCAGAAATATTTGGTGGTTGTGGAAGTGTCGGGGCTGAGGATGTCATATTGTTTCTGGCTTCAGAAGTTTTCCTTCAATATTTCAACGAGAATAAGTATTCAAGAAATCCACTGGACTAAATGTGGAGTGGCTTTGAAGAATTCGAAGATGTATGAATTGAATGCCCAAAATGTTTTAGGAAGAGGAATATATAATTTGAAGCTATAAGTCTGTGTCATGAAAATTGAAACATGTGATTCGGTGATTTGTAATACCAGTACAAGTGATGTATAGCCGCAGCAAATAGAGATAAGGAAGACCGAAAATAAAACATAAGCAAAGCCAGCACGCCCTGTGGTATACACGCATGAGCTTACCACTTTCGATTAGTGATAATACCACGTGTTATCAGACTTCAATAACACCTTTTTTCACCTTTGTTTGTGATTATATATTCCATCATATTATGATATAGCCAATTAACTATACTTAAAGACCATTAAGATTATTCTGGGCAGTCATGGCATCCCCTGTTCTAAGTGAGTAAGGCTTCTGTTAGGGGAAACTAGCAGCTCACCGATATCCACGAAATCTAACAGGACCACATTAGGGTTTGCTCCATGCTGCTGAGCGCAAAGCTCTGCCTGTGCACCAATACTACCATTTCCAGTCGCAGCATTTGTATCTGGAGCGCTGCCCCTATCTGGCATCAAAATCCCCGTGCTGAGGACTTCGATATCCAGAAAGTGGTTGACAATATACATGAGTCCAGCACCGTTGGAGCCAGATGGTCTATCAATAGAACAATCGGGAAAGTCAGAAGTCGTAACATCATCTGTTGGTTGAGATTTCCGAGTCAGTATTGCTTCTTTGGAACAATCAGGGCTATACTTGGAATGGACTAGGGGGTTATCTGGGAAATAGTAACAGTCTCAACTCTTCGATGAACAAAAAACGACGTTCTACCCTAATCAAATGAACACGTACAGGGAGTTTCCCAGAAATAAGAAAATTCACTGCATAATAAGTCAGTATATGGATATTTTCATAAGAAAGGTCAGGCGTCTCGAGACATGATCCTGGGGAAGAGACAGAGGGGGTGAGATAAAAGAACTCGACTTACTCCAAAATATACGGGACTGTCCCTGTGTTCGAGTTGTAGTCTATCATCTCAGTTAGAGCAAGGGCCATGCTTCGTGCGGAAGAGACATTTCACGAACCCATAAATGTGATCAATCGAGTATTAGCGGATATCAAGTCTTGCAGAGTTGGCCAATCGCCCAAAGCAAGCTGATTTGGCGGCGTATAGGTATACTTTGAGATTCCAGCATCGTCGTATGCGTCAGCAAACATGCTCACCGCAATGGCGTCCCCATTTGTCAAGAGCAATGTGACGACCTCATTAGGATTAGAGTCCATCCAAGTTCTGATAGCAGTAAGATAATCGGCGAGAACTCCAGAATCTTCCTCCCAGCAGGAAGTATGGCACAAGAAGATCTGGTTGAGAAACGAATGTGTCTGGGCTGTAAGAAATCGAATGCCGGCGTTCAATTGGCCCGTAACATCGAGATTTTGGTTGTCAGTTGGCAAGTCCCCAACAAAGGCCGAGTCATGGGCTCCTATTTGCGTGATATTGGAATATTTCCTGGAGCACAGTGCATCATTCCCATTGCAAGCAGCTGCGCTGACTTTGCAGGGACCAATCAGAAAGAGCCAGAAAAAGATTTTGAGAATCATCTTGTCGACTTTGACAATTTACCCGAAGCAGTGAGAATTAAAGAGAAAGGGAATAGAACGTGGGGTATATATGCAGAAGAAAACCAGATACTGTATTTTTTGGAGGTTGCCTTCCTATTCACGCGGCTGCCATGGGCAGCTTCCCCATATGGCATGAGATCGGGTCATTTAAGGTTATGATCCGCTGTCATGTCCAGTGTGAACCAGTTGGCCTCGGCTTGTGCGACAGGTTTATTCTGTATTTATGCGCAGTGGTACCTGAGAATACCGAGCTTCTTCTTGTGGTTGGCAAATCGTGTAGTCGTCTGGCTGTGTGATTGGAAACGACAAGAAGAACAAGCGCCCGAAAGGATCGCAAATAAGAATGAAGCCGAGAACTGGGGGAGATCTGAATGATCTGCATCGGTCTTGCATGAACCTAGATCCATGCCGGACCGGTAGATTGACAAGGGCCGGGCCTCACGAGCCATGATTCTGCAAAACAACTCTTAAGACATCAGCCTCCTACGTGGTCGTCGCTCAAAAGGTCAAATCTTGTAGGCTCGTGGCAGAAGGTAGGTTGGCAGGTGTCGATCTATCCATGTACCAACAGGAGCAGATTCAGTGTCAACGCTCTTGTCTCAAGGGTAAAAGACGCGAAGGATCGTGACTTGCACAGGTGGCAAATAATGCATCTTGGGTCGATAGATGAATGAGTGCAATGCGTGGTTAACGAAAGCTGGAAGGTGGTGTGGTGTTCCGAGGCGAAAATCTCCAGTATTAGCTAAGTATACTGGAGCTGAGCTCTCGGTGATACTACAACCACCAGAACCACTCACCGAAGCAGGCACACTATTACTCCGTATCGACATGCCTCATAAAACTCCGATGCGACATACTACTCGATAGCAGGTAGCCTTCCAATTTTCCAGTCCTGTCTGTATTTAGCAGGCGAACCTCGTGACATAGGCTGCCTGTGACATAGTATCGTACCAAGTCTCCCGCAACACTTCCCCCAACTTCACCCCTCCTCACTAAATGTTCCGCCATCCTCTCTTCATCATTCTCTTCGACCCAAGTACCATAACTTGAAGCCGAACCTCTCTTATTCTCCCCGCCATGTTCGCCTATGACTCTCGCCTTCGTCTCCACCGCCCTGGCATTCCGAGGCAATCTGACTTTCAAGGAATATAATATTTCAAGCATGTCGCTTCATGGGAAAGAAGGTTGCAGCAGCTATTACGAATGCAACACTAGTACAGCCACTCCAATTCCACTTCTTATCTTTGCACCCCTGTCAATTGCCTCGAAAAATTCGTATCTGGGGGGTTTCTAGCCGTGGGCACACTTGTTACTTCTCCTGCGGCGAAGGTTGTATTTGAGGATTTGACAAGGTCGAGGTGTCCAATAAGGTTAAAGGGATGCAGTAAGGGGTACTTCTGCCATCGCAGCTAATGAAATATCCGTATTTTCTAATTGCAGCAAGTAGGATTGTTCCCTCCACAGCAGATTATATCTGCTGAAGGTCAAAGTTTAGCATCGGTTCCTCGAATTCTTGACATAATGTATCTTTCCGCTTTGACTAATGGCATTGCTGGTACGCTAGTCGAAGATTCAGCAGCATCAATGTATGAAGAAAGTCTCGGGGCCTCTGAAACAATATGGGAGTAAATTATCTGGACCAAATATCTGGAAGCTGTCAGAGATAGAACAAAAATCTATAACATTTGGAATGAAGAGTCTATAGACGCTCAACTCGACACCCTTGGAAATGATGAAATAACGGGACTATGACAACATGACATGAAATGATTTTTGACGCAAATGCAAGCAACATATTTGTTGTAAACTTAATCAAGCGTACACAAGGAGCTTCGCAGCCCTCCATGCCTCTTCCTCAATACTCGCTACACAGTAAGAGGTCCAACGGGATTCATTGAGGGGGCAAGAGAAGGAAGAAGGATGGAAGAAGGCTGAGAAGCTTTGGCCCTATTTGGTGAGCGAATAGCGTTTTGAATATACCATACAAACGACGAATCCAATTGAATTTTGCTCTATTAGATTCGATATATCGCAATTCTGGTTGGATTAACCCTCTACTTGACCTTCTATTTAGGTTGAATCTAATAGAATGGGTATATTCGCGAATCTACGATATAAACCTCTAATTTAAGAAGAAGCCGTATTGCTTGAATTGAATATCACGAATCTAGCGTTCCACGTGATGCTGTATATAATACGACTTTTAAGGTAATATATCTATACTTGTTGGTATCACAAGGTGTGCACTGGTGCTGGCCTAGATGGCGTTTTATGCTAGATTCGATCGAATTTATATATTCGTGAAAACCATATTCGCTCGCTAAACAGGCCCTTAAAGAAGCTAAGCCCTTCCCTTTCACCTGTCCTGTCGATGCCTGTGCTGTGGTGGGGTAGCACGTGGGTCGGCGTACAATTTGAAACCTCCGATGTACCTCGGCGCCGCCGAATGCGAAATTGGCGACACGACTCATCCACCCCATGCACATAAATAATAGATTGAAAGCACCTACAAGTACACAAGTATTGGAGGGAGGGCATTGTAACCATCCTAGCCCACCAGTCTCTCCCTGTCTCCTCTCCTCTCCCCTCTCCCTCTCCCTCGCCATGGCCTCCGCAACGCGCCTCCCCCTAAAATCCATCCTCTTCACGGGTACACTGGTCTTAGGAATCGGAGCTTCGAGAGTCAACTTACGCTCTCACGCCCTATCCTTCTTCACAGGATCAGGAAGAAACTCCCGAATACTCGCAGCGGTTATTCTCCTTGCCAATCTCAAGAATGTGCCATTTGCCTGGCATTACCGGGTATGGGGAGCAATCCTGCGCCATTGCCTCTTCAGCAAGCCTCGAATGCCACCCGCCCTCGCGACCTCGTCGCTCTTCCTCCCCGTAATCTCATCTTCCTATAGTCCGCTCTCCGAATGCGACTACAACCTGCACAAATCCAACTCCACTTACTTCTCCGATCTAGACGTCTCGCGCTCTCATCTTGTCTGCGCTCTCCTCCAACCCGGAATCGAACGGCTACAGCATAATGTGCGGGAGAAGCTGGTGCTGGATAAAGAAGGGCAGCCGGTGAGGGCTCGGTGGCTTATCATGCTGGGAGGTGTGATGTGTAGTTTTAAGCGGGAGATAGGGATATATGAGGGTTATGAGATGTGGTCTCGGCTCCTATGCTGGGATAGAAAGTGGATCTATGTGGTGCGTACAAACTTATTCGAAAGTCTTGATATCTTTTCAGCGGTTGCGGACTCTCTGGGACATCAAACAATGTCTCAAGCTCTGACTCCAGGCCCCTTCTCGAACAAGCAATACTGACTGCGCGAACTATAGGTCACACATTTCGTGAAGAAAGGAGCTGTTAAGCCTAGTGCCTACATCTTAGATGACGGGAGCTGGTTTGGTGGTAAAGGGTATAAGAAAGTGGATGGGGAGGGAGGGAAGGATGTTGATGAGAAGGCCATATTTGCGAGTGCCATTTCTAAATACGTGATCAAGTTGGGCAGGTTGACCGTTCATCCCGAGGTCTTTTTGCAGGCTTCTGATATGTTGCCGCCAAAACCAGGTGGATGGTCATCCATGTCTAATTCGGGAGAATCCACTCCAGAGACGTTGGAAGTTGAGACCACCGAAGTTGAGGTAACAGATGAATGGGATTGGAGGAGAGTAGAGGCTGAGAACAAGAGAGGGCTGGCCATTGCCGAGCATTTGGGGGCATTAGATACTTTACACCATGAGTTTACTGGTAGTCAAGCGCCAGCGGTGGGCAGGTATAGAGATTTCATTTCCATGTAGAAGTTCTGTAACAACCCTTAGATAGACTAGACCGAGATGGTCTCGGCATACCTAGAGAGGGCTCGCAAGATGCTGAGGACCTAGATAGATCGTTTGTGCGTTGCTTTATAGACTACTAATGTTGACAATTTGCTAAGAATGGTGCCTTATTTCAATTCAAATTTTCTACAAGTAGAGAACTATATTGTTGCTCATTTTTGGCTATTGTCACAATATCACTCGTTCATATCAAGATTTTGGTTAAAAAAAAACGGGTTTCTTTTCATTAATAGATGCCATTGAAGGACAATCTCCTGATATTTCCATCCAGTTTCACATACTTCGTTATTTACAATATACAATTTTATGATATGCGCTTACAAGGCCATAGCAGCGAGCATGGCAGCGGCACCGACCATACCAAAGGCTTCAACCTTAGATCCAGGATTTGAGGCGGCAGGAGCGCTTGTAGTGGAAGCAACCGCCGAAGAAGCCACAGAGGCTGCGCTTGAAGCGGCACTTGTCACACTTGCCTTTGCTCCGCTACTGGATGCGGAAATTGAGGATGCCGTCGAGGATGCCGTCGAGGATGCCGCGGAGGAGGTTGCAATAGATGAGACCACGGAAGACGAGATTGATGAGGCCTGCAAGTTCTCCGAGTCAGTATTGCCCAATCAAGAAATATTTATGAGTCCGGATGAGTTCAAGCAATTGGGAAGTCTCGGAAGACTTAAGCACCCAGTATTTGTCCAGAGGAGGAAGCGGACTGTTGGGGGGATTTGCATACCACGGAAGACGCTGCAGACGTTGATTCAGATGCGGCGGAACTTGATCCAGAACCACCCGAACCGGCAGCTACCAAATCACAAATCTTGCCGGTGATGGTTTGCACATCTACACTTTGTTGGTCATTGGACAGTAAAGCAGGTGTGGAAGTTACATACTCAGGGCATCAGAAACTTGGCAGGCCTTGAGGAGGCAGGGGGTTGCAGACGAAGTGATGCCAGCCTTGGCGGAGCCGCACTGGCACGCATTGTCGGTGATGGAGCAACCTGCACCAGTGATGGCAGTTTGCAAGCAGGTCAGCGAGCAGGCTGGAAGCGAGGCTGTGAGGTCTGCGATGGATTGTGTCTGGGCAACAGCGGCTAAGATAGCAATAACGGTAGTGTATGTGAGCTTCATGTTGACGGCTGATTGAGTATTGGGAACGAAGGTACAGGTTAACTGCTAAGTTTTGATATAGAGATGACTAGTTTGTTTTTCCTTTTTATCAGAGATGAAGGATGCAAGATGTGAGACAGGGCGGGTTTATATGTACATGGGCAAGATTAGATTTGGCTCTGGTCTCCCAACATGGCCCCGCGGGAAGCAGGGCAGGGCATATGATCGATGGATGGAACTGGTAGATGGAATGGGACCTCGGTAGGTCCTGCCTGGCGGTGCCAGCTTTCCCTCTCCAAACTAGGAATGTTTGCCTCAAAAGCTGGAGATCTTTACCTAGTCAGAGATTCCGGGGAAGTTAGTAGACACTAGCCCAGAAAAGGTAATGTGCCTTCAACGTACAGCGAGGTCATACGGAGCTGGGACGGTTGGTGGACTGAGAATGAAAGCAATAGCTTAGTGGTGGCCTCCTGCTTGGTCGGATGGGGCCTATGCGGCTGGCTTGCATACAGTCTTGCATGGTAGGTATCCCACGCGATTGGACAAAGGACCTCGTACTCAGATCAATATAAAACACAGCACCTTGCCAATTCATACTTCGTCACTTCGTGGTATATTGATTGATCATCTGTGCGGATTGTGACGCTTAGATTACTTTCCCGCTCAATACCAAGCTGTGGCCAGTCTTTCACTTGAGGTTGGGACAATAATACTCATAAAAGTTCGACGTGATAGTCTCGAGCTTTTGAGGCTTGCCCACTTGATGCAAACACAAGTACAAGCCAAATTACAAGGTAACCTTTATGCGCCTCGAAATAAACTTTAGCATTACAATAAGCTTAAAATCTCCTCGAAAGCCAAGTCGCAAACACATGATAGAGCAACCCAAGAGAGGCACAAACCTCGAATAAGCCGAGGTGTCTTCTGTTGAAGTTTATGATTTGACTTTGCGAGGTAACACAAAGTGGCTAGATGATGCCCGGCTCTGGGTAGATCCCCAGTTTGGGCTTTCTCCGAGACAGATCCAGTGCGGGGAATCTTGGGATGGATGCGGAGAAAAGTTGAGCTAGTATCTTAGTGTGCACGGCTTGATATGCACCAAAAATGACATCCAATTGCTGGACTTGTTCTTACAAATAGCTGCGGAGCATTCGCCTGCTTCGGTATAGTATGAACTCAAAGTACCTCTAGTACCTGACATGTCCCAAACGGTTTTGGCATGTAGCATAAGCAGGAACATGTGTTCAAGTTAAGTTGACCTCACAGGATCGCGGATGTAAATTACCTTGCCAATGAAAGCTTCGAGGAGCGGAGCAATAACCATGAAGACTCCTCAGCTTTCTCAAAGAACATGCACTAGAGACATGTCCCTAGGTTCGTAATAAGGAAAATTTGGGTTCGCGGAGTAGCGTGGCGTGTCCATTGAGAATGATTCCGTGAGGAAATTGAGGGCATAAGTATAAAACCCCTCGTAGTCTCAATTGTGACGTGAGATAGCCTTGTAGTGGTGACTACTATAAAGCATTTTATACCCGGCGCGCCATGAGGGTGGATATCAAGTTGCTCAGGTGCAAGACCTTAATGATGAGAACATATACGCATTCATTTCTTCCTCAAAAGTCCCTCAGCATCCTTCTGTTCCTCCTCCCACCATCCCTTGAATGTCTTTAACCTCTTCGTTCTCTCCTTGGCAATTCTCTTCCCTGGTCCGGTTTTCATCATGCCCTCTAACTTCTCCAATTTGTCCTCAAAATGCTGAATCGTCTCCCCCATATCTTTCGCCCCCTTCGCACCTCCAAAAGTAAATGTCCTGCCAATTCCTACTGCCCCGATTGCATCCAAACGATCTGCGTCCTGAACAACTGCCAGCTCCGGATACCTCTGAATCAACCCCAGAGTCTGCGCAGGATCCTTTACCTCAGTAGAATAGCTCACGCCAAGCACAATTCGTTGTACCTTGATGGCTAGTTCTTCTGGAGCCCCAAAACCCAGCAGCGTAGCAAGCACAAGCGTATTACCATCCTGTCCCGGCTCAAGATACTTCTTATCACCCACATCATGCAGAAGCGCCGATAGCGTAACAATATGTAGATCCAGATCTGGCGTCTCGTCGAATAAAGGCGGCGATTCTTGGCGCTCCTTGATCATATCGGTGTATATCAAATGTGCCAGCCCAACAACGCGCCGTATGTGGTTGAAATCGTGAGAACCATCGTATTTGCTCATATACTTCTCAACGAATGCTGTGACTTTGGGTATAAGAGCGGAATTGAACTTCGGTTTTGCCGCCTTGCGCTTCTTCGCGGGCGGTGTTTTCGACTGTCCTGCTTCGGTTTCCAGCGGTGCAGATGGTGCTTCGTCCTCTGACTCGGAATATTCCCTGAATTCCGGGTATTTGGAGCGTCTTCTGAGTCCCAATTTCTGCCGCAAACGCGCGAGGCTGCGGGACTTGATCTCGAACCCCTCGGCCAGTAACTCTGCAGCTATCTGCTCATCATTGAGGTTCTTGTTATAATGATAGATTACTCTATCCCGCAGTTCTTGGGAGGAGGGCGTGCGCAGCTTCTTGCGTGGGACCTGATCTCAAATCAGAATTGCTTATCAAGGAGCATGCTGCCTTGTGGTTGGGAGTTGTTCAATGTCAGAGAAGATTAAGAAGGGCTTTCAAAACTCCCGAGTTTATCTAAAGGCAGAAATAACATGGCGAGTGAAATTACTCACGTCCCATGTTGTGAGTCGACGTGATATAGTACGTTCGCTGACGTCGAGACCGTGTTCTAGGTTCAGTCTCCTAGCGATATCAATGATCGGTACATCATTCTTGAACAGGTCAATTATATGGTCCCGGTAGGGCTCGAGGGGCGTGAGTTGAGGTCGGCCTCGTTTGCGAGGGGTTTGTGCCGGGCTGCTCTCTGGGCTCGCTGACATGCTCTACTTGTAGAACTTTGTCCGAGTGGTGGTTATGGTTTCAAGGAGAGCTCGCGGCTTAGAGTTGAACGGTTGGCGATTTCACTCTGAGTCTCTATGGCCCGCCCTATTCGCAGCAGATAACAACACAACTCCCAACAAGCCGAAATATTTCTGTAAACATCGGAGAGAATGAAAAATGGCAAGAAATCCTCAATTCAATAGAGTTCGGTGACTTGGCACTGCTGTAACATTCGGTCAGTTGTGAAGAATCCTTCATATTGAACAAGTGTCAATGAAGAGTGTTCAACCCCGCGCCTGCGGGGATCCTCCCCTCACGAAGGCGGGGAAGTCCCCCTCATTTGATATATGTTTCTTCCCTGTTACAGACATTCATTTTTCAGTCCATAATCTTTCACCTCCTTCGAAACATCATCTTCATATTACGACTAGTCGAGATGGCATATCTAAAGCCGCAAGCAAATAATCGACTGACACAGATCAGCGACTTCTTGACCGGTAATAAGACAGCTACTGCTATTCCGTTTTCCCCAGATTGTACAAAGTTCCCTCCTCGAAAAGATGTTCCCAGAAGAGAAGACGCACCAGAGGGGGCGTAAGTATCCTCCTATAACATATCGACCAAGTTAACTTGTTGCAGGGCTTGGGTCTGGGGAAAGGATGATTATCTAGGACGAGTCAACCTCCTAACACCCGCTCGGGTCGCTGCAGCTTCAACAGAGATCAAAAGCGGGCAAATAGTCCCCTTAAACTTGCCTCTAGATGTGCCCAAAATCCCTGCGTTCAACCGCCAGCAGTTCAAACATGAGATCAAGGAGTTGGCCCCTGGCGTTGCTTACGACGATATATACACGATGAATACACAGAGTGGGACGCAGTGGGATGGACTGAGACACATGGCTCATATATCGACCAAGACGTTCTACAATGGTGAGAGAGCTTGGTATGATATTCAATATGCAGATATTGACCCTTCTAGGCACCAAAGGAGAGGATATCAAAGGACCAGAAAAGAATGGAAAGTGCGGCATTCATCACTGGGCTCAGCATGGAATTGCTGGGAGGGGAGTGTTGATCGATTATTGGACCTACGCTAATGAGAAGGGCATGCCCTATGGTAAGCACGCTTCCTTTCCCAAGTTAACAACGGATATGAAAATCGTCAACGTCCACGTTGGTTGTTCTGCGTGAAGTGGAACTTGTAAAAATGCTGACATTGATCTAGACCCATACGAATATTATTGCATTCCTTACTCCGAATTGTACGCATGTGGGAAAGCGCAAGGCATTGACATCCGTCCAGCTTCTCAGGGCGGTGATATTATGATTGGAGACATTTTATTCATTCGAAGTGGCTTTATATCCACCTACTATTCGAAGACTCCAGATGCTCGTGCTGCCGCAGCATTGAGGCCGCATGCGCTCGGAACTGCGGATGGGCAACGATGGGCCGGTATAAAGCAAGAAGATGTGATGCTCGACTGGCTACACGATTGCTATTTTGCCGCTGTTGCAGGCGATGCACCAAGTTTTGAAGCTTGGCCAAGTCACGAGGAGTATATGCTACATGAGTATATCCTCGCATTCTGGGGAATGCCCTTGGGTGAGCTGTTTGACTTGGAGAAATTGTCCCAAACTTGCAGGGAGAAGGGGAGGTGGACCTTCTTTGTCACTAGCTCTCCTAGTAACTGTGAGGGAGGAGTTTCGAGCCACGGGAATGCATTGGCTATCTTTTGAGCTGACATGCATGGGGGCACCTATTCGAAGGCTTTTCATATCATCCATTAAACAATCATCGTTTTAGTCTTGGACAATTGAAAGGGTGCAGGTGATCATCAGGCCCATAAGCTTCGCCGTCCAGATCCTAGACTCGGGCGTTTGGTTTCAAGACCCGTGAGATCAAGCCCGCGAAAACATATTTACAGTAGATGGTTAACGAAAATGTATTGTCTTCTAAATCTATTCTAACGAATCCATCGATGGAGATATCTATCGCTCAAATTCCTACCAAAGTCAATCATCTCTTCTTTATTCAAGCCTTCTTGGCATCATCAGACGAGGACTCCCCCCGGACCTCTTGCACCTGCGGCGTCCCTGGAGAACTGAGTCCTGTCTCCAACCTTTTTCTATCCAATTCATCGAACATCCCCCAGTCACCGATCTGTTCATCGAAGAACTGATCTGAATCAATACCATTCATCTCTGCCTCTTCTGTAATTCTCAAGTGCATTCCTGGAATGAATTTCAAGATATATAGAAGGGCACAAGAGACCAGAAACGAGTAGGCGGAGATAGCGGTGATTTCGGCAAATTGTTTTCCGACTTGCATTCCATTGCCGTCGATTCCACCCGAGGCAATTGTAACTCCATCGAGTGCAGAAACTGAACAGGTCAGTCACTATGCTACTAATCGAAGGAAATTCTAGACTTACTTGATTTAGTGGCAAATATTCCTGTTAAGAAACTGCCAACCATACCTCCAATGCCGTGGAGTTTAAAGACGTCCATACCCTCATCAATATGTAACCAATCATTCAAGTTTTGAAGAAGTGCACAAACGACGGCGGTGACAAAGCCTATGACAGCTGCGAGCCATGGCTCCACATAGCCAGCCGCTGGGGTAATGCCGACCAATCCAGCAATGGCACCTTCGCAGGCCCCAACAACGCTGAATTTCCGACCATGCTTGAAATAGTCAACCATTACCCATCCTATTACTCCCGTCGAAGCAGCGGTATTTGTGTTGAAAGCTGCTACCATTGCTCGTACGCTGGCATTCAAAGCACTCCCACCGTTGAAACCGAACCACCCGAACCATATCAAAACCGTACCAAGGAATACAAGTGTAGTATTGTGAGGCTTGCCGTGAGATTTATCGCCGGCGTGCTTACGTTTCCCAAGGACGAACGCATAGGCCAATGCTGACCAGCCCGAGGCGACTGCAAATTACGGAAGTCAGCGTTGATCAATTGATGGGTTTCCAAAGTCTTGGAGGGAGGAATGTTTCGGAAGGCCCAAGACATGCAAATGGACATTGATTTGTCCCGGGGTAAAGGGAACGCTCTGGGAAGTTGCTTACTATGAACTGGTCCGCCTCCAGCAAAATCCAGGGAGGGCAGGTTGTAGAGCCAGCCATTTGCATTCCATGTCCAGCATGCAATTGGGCAGTAGACAATAGTAGCCCAAAAGAAGCCGAATACAAGACTAGGAATGATCCGACCTCGCTCAAAGGCCCCGCCAACTACAATCTGCACTGTACAAGCGCTATTATCAAATTAGGCCCAGAATCCCCAAGTTCAGGTGAGAGGTTAATTTACCAGAACAATAGCTGGTAGAGACAGAAAACAATCTCGGGGATTACAGCCGAGCCGGGAGACGGGGCAGCCATGACATTTTTCATCCCAAAATTAGCCATGTCACCTATGAAAGGCCCGGCAGTCCTCGAATACGCCAGACTGTACCCCCAGAACATCCATTGAAAAGTTGTCACGGCACCGACCATCAAGCTCTGGAATAGAAGAGTGACCGCAGACTTGCGGCGTGCGAGGCCTCCATATAGAAGTCCGATTCCCGGGATAATAAGCCAGACAATGAAGCCACAGAACACGAGCTACGGTAAATTAGTACCATGTTTCGGTGCATATTTAGAGTCCTAATACAGCAAAGGCAAGGGGTAAAAATAAGGAAAGGGGTTGGATGCGTACGTATGTGTAGTGATATTCAAACCCGGCATATTGGGCATTCACGTCGATTTGCGTGGGGTCTCCGCCACTCGGAATTGACGAGTTGAATACTGGCTGTCTAATGTCAGCTTTTGGGGCATTGTGTCAGGACTCAGGTGTTGTGCATACAGCGTCGCTCATTTTGACTACCGGTAGCAAGAAATAGCAGCTGCAAAGAAGAGGCCGTAGTCAAAAATGCTTCCTCGAGAGCTTACTTGAGGACGCGCACCAAGGGGCATGCCATCCTTAAGAGCACTTGGTTTGCCAAGGTCTCCATTTCGCATGGGCTCTCACGAAGCCAATAAGATATTCTTTGTTATCGCATCTTTATCAATTCGTCCTTGTTTAGGAAAGGCAAGATGCTTGGCGGCCGTATCTATAGACGGGTTGCTGGGAATTGAAGCTGTTAGACTGTGTCAGTAGTGCCTGTCACTCCGGGATGAGTTCCGATATCGTGACAAAGAACCTTGATATTGCACTGATAAGAGGTTATCTTGGCCGCAAAAGCGGATTGTATCGCCTGTTTAGGACTAGTCTGGTCATTAGAGTTTCCAATGGAATAAGGTTACTGGTAAAACCTTATTTTCTTACACAAATAATTAGAACTGGTAAGAATTAGAAGCAGTTGGTAGCGCTGGGGTAAACGTGCGTTGGTCACGTGCTCCATGACAAATGTGGATTCTACCTGGACCGATCTTACGCACCAATCTGAAAGATGGATAGACTTTACGTAAGGTTATGAGCATTGTGTGTATTTGATAACTGCAAGTCCTAGTTACAGCTATCATACATTGCGGGTTACCCAGGCTTGAAAGGGTCTACAGACCGCCGGTCGCTCACTTCCTACAGCGACATTCTTGGAGCACTTTGTATACCTTTCAAGAAAAGTGACTGCTATTCTTCAATACCATAAAGAGGGACGTTGGCGTCGGCATCCCTTGGTAATAAGCAACAATGCTGTTCGCTACTTCTGACCCCTATCCGAAGCGAAATGTTTAAGCGAGAGCTTTCCCCACCTTTTAACGTCTCACATCAACCCTTCTACACGCCTCATTCTTCTATTAAACAGTCATATTTTAGGCAAACAAAAGCTCAAATCCCCTGAGTGGAATCAACAAGATCATTGGAAATCGCTCTGATATCTTAGACTGAAGAAGTGATGGCATTGCTATCAACCTAAAGAAATCAAATCAACTTACCCTTTTTCCAAATGCCATCCACAGATCTGGATATAAAACAGAAACCTCCTATTGAACGAGTGACTTGTCCTTTGAAACATGCCGCAGCACAATGTAGGTAATCTCGGCGCCTTTATGAAGGCATCCTATCCTGTCTTTCCATCAAAGTTCTACCTCTATATTTTTCAAGGCGAGCGCACCGTGCCGCTATTACAGGCCCCGAATACTATAAGTGTATATTTCGCTCCCCAATATGAGCTTAATCATTCTCTTATAGTTCCGCCCCCATCAATGCCGAAGGTGCGTATAGCCTTTGGCCTTGAATAAGGAAGTCCCGTGACGTGAAGCACCTCCTTTGGCGCACCCTGTCCCTCCGATGGTTTTTTGTCAGCACCTCTCACATTAAGTTATTAGACATACCGTAGCCACCGATACGAATCAAATGTAATATTCAAAGGACTCCATCGCTGCGGCTCCTTATTCGATTTTGTCCTCCCTTTCATCAGCTCCTTCATGGGTCGTACTTCCCTAGCGTACTTAGCTAGACATAGACCCCTAGCTTGTGTTCGCAATTATGGCCTCCTGATACACATTTCTGGCTTTGTATAATGGTACCACGGCCACATGATGCTTTGCTGAATACCAGCCGGCCCAAATGATATAATTTATTTTAAGACCATGCTTAGAAGAGCCAAATTGATCAGATGTAAAGGGGTCCCAAAACCCGGTGAATCGGTGAGTCTGATAGTTTGTTCGGAAATTTCTTTTGATACCAGCAGCCGCCGACTTGGGTTCCCGCTGGGTGTAAATATCAATGGCGGTCAAATAGATTGAAGTTGTACAAATTTATAATATGACAGGAATTTGAGATAACGACATCGAGGCAGATAACACAAATCTGTAAAAGAAGATCGAAGTGCGGGGTAAATCTAAGCTTAAGACGACGCCCTCCTTGCTTCCTTCTACCTTTGATATGATAGCACCAAAACCAATAGATCCAAAGCCATCGCGTCCCCTAATAAATCTTTCATCCTATCATGAAGTGTTGTTCCGTGGTTTTGCAAATTTGTACCTTCGGGCAGCTCGTCAGGGTCCTCGCATGGGTTCAGTTGACCCTACTTGTACCGACATTGTCATCTTGACCGTCCCCCTGCTTTGTCCTACATTCCTTCCTTGTTCTTTGATATCGTAACACCGTATATCGTTTAAATTTCTGAATACAGTAAGGTCAGCAAGAGTCCCGAAGAGTTCGCCCGAAATGAAGTGCTTACCGCAAAATCTCAAATACGAAGTAAGAAATGCAAAGTATCTATCTGTCTGTGCCAACCCTGTTTCTCCGCGAAAGATTTCGTGGGGACGAAACCTTCGTAGATCATTCTGAGAAATACCCGTCAGACACACTCGGTATATTACAATGCGCCGAAGACCTTATTAAGACATCATTATCTGTAATAATGGGAGATTTCAGTTTCTTGGAGGCGCCAGCGGAGAATGCTCATGTTCATCATTGACATAATAGTAATCTGTTGATTCGGTCCCTATGAAACCTGCAGGATCGCCACCAGGTAATAGCCAGTTGTCCAATTGTGCGTCTGAAGCCTGGTAGTACCCAGTATCTTGCTCCAAGGAATTGAAGCTCATCTGACCTTGCTGGTAGTAAGCCCCAGTCATGTAGTCGCCGGCACCTGATGAATATCCCGTATGGGAAAGACTTGAGCTGTCACTCGCGAAATCTCGATAATCTTCTCTCGTTGTGGAAGGCGTCGGGTAGTATCCTTGTGGGGCAGTATACATTTGCTGACTTGATGATGCGGCCGCACTGCTTCCCCCGTACTCTGACTGGGATGTTTGTACGTAGACTGGGTCCGGGACCCTATTTATACAGTCCCTTTCGAGTTGGAGGTTTGCTTGGCAGGTCTGCGTTCCATGGTGGTCTGGCTGGCTCGTCATATCCGTAGGGCGCTCATGCGGGTTTAGGCTAAAGTATTCATCCGCATTCGTATATTCGGGACTCTGAGTAGCTAACCTTGAACCTTCGTAGGTGCATAATACTGGCGGATATCTGTTTATATAGCATCTTGTAAGTTAATACTTCCACTCTGAGTCTTGAATCAATCCTCACCTTCTCGCACAATTATTACACGGGCGGTCTTTGGCTTGATTGCACTTGTCTTTGTAAATCCTTTAGTTCGTTTGACGTAATATGGATCTCACCTTCTGCTTGCGTCTCCTGCACTCAGTGCAAGAAGTAAAAGTCCTCTGACGGGGGGCGCGACTTCCAGAAGTAGACATAAGTACGAGGTACGGTTTTACGTCAAATTGTGACATTTAATACAAAGCTTCATGAAAAGAGTACTTCGATGGTCTTTTGTCTATTATATGTTGCTGAAGCCTTTTCCTAATACTAAAACTTAGTGGGACCTGGGGCTGAAATGGTTTCTGGCACTGGCCAATGATACAAAAGAAAAAAAGCCAGTTGTGCCACAGCCTTAAGCTGAGTTACGGACGAAGTATTTAGACATGATTTCGGCAATAAAGCTTTATTTTTATAAATGTGAATAAACGGTGTCAACCGAGCCGAGATGGATGGCTGCCATTCACCATGTATGCAGAGCACTCCTGGCATGCAGCCTAGCATACAGATGCATCTCGGGAGGATAGAGTAAGGTACATTGGAAATCCTTTTTACCCCTGCCGTGCTGCAAGCAAGTCTAGTGTGGCTAAGGATATAAAGGTAGCTTCGAGGACCACTTCCCACTTGAGCAGACAACGTGCCAAGATACTACCACCGACATCATCGTGCCTTGTAAGCTGAAAAAAACGTTGTCATTTCTGATAATTCTCCTGTCTAACATATCTAAGAGGTTCAGAAATAGTAACCCGGAGTACACCTACCTTTCGTCCCACTAACGAGCCATTCCTACAAGGCTCCCCAAGCAATCAAGACACCATGCTATTGACTATCTTCTCAGCCTCAAACCTAATTATCACGCTACTCGTAACGTTACGAGTCAATGCCTCTATTGTTGTGAATGGGAATTCGTACTCGGTCGATAGAATCCTCACCCGAGACTTTGCTATTATAGGAGGAGGGTCCACAGGAACATATTCGGCCATCCGTCTCAAAGATTTGGGAAATACCGTAGTGGTGATTGAAGGGAAGGATCGACTTGGAGGACATACCGAAACGTACCATGATCCTAAGACCGGAGGAACCATCGATATTGGGGTTGTAGTCTACCACGATCTCGACATTGTCAGGACTTACTTCGCTCGATTAAACGTGTCGCTGATCACAAGTTCCTTTGCCAGCACTGATTCGCAATACATGGATTTTCAAACCGGGAAGCTCGTCCCGGATTACAGTCCTGCTGACCCAACAGCAGCTTTGGGGATCTATGCCGAGCAGCTTGCAAAATATCCCTATGTAGAGTTAGGGTTTGATCTCCCGTACCCCGTACCGGATGACTTGCTCATGCTCTTTGGAGACTTTGTGCTTAAATACGGTCTGCAAGACCTGGTGGGGTTTTTGGGGGGTTTTGCCCAAGGACTTGGCGACATTCTGAAGCAGCCAACAGTTCGTGCAGTTTTTTTCTGGATTGTAGGGGAGGTTTTGAAATAGCTAACCTTTTTAGCTATACATTTTTAAGAACTTCGGTTCTGATTTGATTCGAAATCTCCAAACTGGATTCCTTACGACAGCATTGCACGACAACAGCTTGTTATACGAGAGTGCATCAGCAGATTTGGGGCAAGATGTGGTGCTCAACAGTTCAATTCTCGAAGTGGATCGTAGTGGCAACGGAGTAAAAGTTGTCATCAAAACACCATCCGGAATTACATTGATTAAATCTCGCAAGTTGATCTTTACAATCCCACCAAAGGTGAAGAACCTCCAAGGGTGGGATTTAGACAATAGTGAAACTTCATTATTTAACCAATTCTCAAACTCCGGGTACTACACAGCGATTATTCAGAACTCCGGGATACCAGACAATCTAAGTATCGAGGATGTTTCCCCAAACACACTATACAACCTGCCACCACTGCCGGCCATATATTCGCTAAGCCCTAGTGGAATCCCTGGCTTGCTCTCGGTGAAGCTTGGAAGTGTCTCTGACTTGACAGATGAGGAGGCCAAACAACAAATCATCTCAAGCGTAACAAATCTTCAGCTCAACCGAACAGGACCAAACAACCCGGAGGTAAGCATTTCTTAAAGTAAATGGATTGTCCAATAATAAAAAACCCAGCCCCCCCCCCCTCCCCCCCCGGGGGTATTTTGCTAACGCCTCGTCGTTCGACAGCTTGCCGTGTACTCAAGCCATACGCCTTTCGAATTAACCGTCCCGCCAAGTGCCGTTGCAGGGGGTTTTTACAAGAGCCTCTATTCATTGCAAGGAGAACGGCACACTTGGTACTTGGGAGCAGCCTTCCACACACATGTAAGCAAGTTTCTTTGAATCTCCGCCCCATTCCCCAAAGCAACGCCAAGAACATGTTTCACCGTTCTTCTTGCCACCTTTTCGAGAAGCGGCCGGACTAACTCATGTCGAACGGGCAGGACTCATCGCTGTTATGGCAGTTCACTGAAGCACTGCTGCCTAACATCACTGCGTTTTGATGCTATATAGTGGGGGTCAATCGAATGTGGTTGGGAATCCTATGGGATACAAAACGTGGTTGCATTTAGGGCAACCAATCGCCAACTGTGTCTGTACTCAGACAAATAAGACATCTTAGCCAAGCGAGAAAGAGAATGTAACACAATTAACTATTCTAATTCAGCCTGACAACGTCTTGTTTGCATGAATCAGCCCCCGCTAGCCCTAATCACCGTGGTTTACGCGTGCGGCTGATGTACAGCCTCGCCAGAAGCACGGAATACCCCTTCTCGATCCAGAAGGGAATAGTCTGAAAGAGTCAATAGTCCATCATAGTAATGTGCGCAGGCATTGCTCAAAGGCGCGCGCCATTAGCACAGGTACGAGGCAGACTGGCGCGTACTATTGACGAAATCACTTGCTCGACATTACTTGAACCACCTTCGTCCTAGTGGCTTCACTTGACTGGCAAGCCCAAGTGCTGGACGACCTTTTGACTCCACTCACTCCAATAATAGAAGCAATACGAGGCAGACTAATAGCAGACACATGAAGCTGGAACCAAAGGTTGTGTGAATTTGGGTTCGGAAGGATCCGGGCGCTGAAAATAAATCTGCAGTCAAGCCTCAACGTTACAACATGGTAGGTGCGCATGTCACGTGGCAATTTCCAATCATACTTAATTTCCTCCTTTACTCAACTACCAACCCTTTTTCATCGCAAATCACGATCCTTCTCGTCTTAGGTGGCCTTAAAATGCATTCATAATATAATTCGGAATGATCTTGCCTTCAGGAATCATTTATCTGTCCCTCGCCATGCATCTTCTGCCCGATTCGTCCCGGTTAGATCTTTTTCATGCAGGAGTGCTCTCAAGTGGCAAACATCGCTATTTCAGTACACTCTGCGTGAGCAACTGTATTGACCATGGATATTGTTGATCTTGTCTGGCAAGGAACGACCGCATCGGCTCGCCCAATATACTAACAAATGGAAGCCTACCTCCGGCAAGATCGGCCTCAGCAGATTGCCTGAGAGCGTAAATACTCGTCGGTTTTGATCGATGTCACTCACAAAGCTCCGGAGAACATGTCGCAAAGCATCCAACCTGTTTCGTTTCCAGATTTCTATGAATCCTGCCAAACTTTTGTGCGCGTGTATCCAACTGCAGAGTAACATCCCGATGCAACAATCTTTCAGCTACTCCTTATGGTGCTTCTTGTTGGATTGTATTTGTTTCTGACAAGGGCAGTATCGAAGCTCAATATTGAACATCGTCTACCAGATTCCAACTTGTAGATTTAGGCTGTTGTAGAGTTTGGAAGCCCTCTCTGCTCGGGTGGCAGGATGCGACCAGATCAGACGGCTGCAATCAATTCCCAGCCCAACAGCCCAAAATGCTTGCTGAAGCTAGGTTAATTACAATAGTCGATGGACTTCATTTCTTCTCAATGTGTACCCCACTGTCTATTTATAGTGCTCCCGCAACATCTTCATTAGATGAGTACTGTGAGTCGGCTCAATTGTCTATTCTTGTAATTGAGGTGCTGGGTATCACGAAAGTGACCTTCTGTCAATCAAGAAAATGCAACATCAATTGTCCAAAATTTGTGAGGATGTCAAGGGTATTCGTGTACTGGTACCATGTCCCGTTCGCTTCTTTCTGCCTTCAGCCATGGGACCTGTCAATCATGAATAACGTCTTGGATATTTCTGCGCTCAGATCTTGCATGGAAATGCTTCTACTATCTACTCCCAGTAACTGCGTCTGCCCATTTGCTCTGCGAGTGAACTCAATTTTATGTCCTCTATTGCTGATGCTTGGCCAAGCTTTAAAGTACCGAGAGTTGAAGTACAAGGATTTTTTTTGGGGATGGCTTATGCTCAATTTGCAGGATCCAATGATGCATTTCAAGATATTATGATCTATTCCTTTGAAACCACGTCACGAGAGCGAAAATCTCACATGATCAAATGAGGTTTCGTCGATATTGACTCTACGTGCACTGCCCAGTGGTTTGATTATGGTTACGATGTTGTAGAAAGGCAGATTGACAAGCCCGTCTCCCCCTCCACAGACATACACCTTTGTTTGTTTGGCGGAAGGTTTCCCGTACTTCTCAGCCTATGGGTTTCTTTTATTCAATGGAAATGATAAAACCCAAATCAATTTCTTTCAAATACCCAGGTTTGTACCTGTAGCCCGAGGCTCATGCTCACGTGACAAAACACACCGGGAAAAAACTGGTATTTGACCCAGATGTTTGTTTCCATGCTCCGCATATTCGCAGTTGAAGGTACTGTCTTCATAATTTGAGTTGTAGTGGTTGACTAGTATGATCTTGTGGGATTTTGCACACTTAAGAATATGTCCAAGACGCTGCATAGTTGCAGGACTTAGCAGTGACGGCGATGAATTTGTATTTGGGTATATCTTTCGGTAGACATATATCCCGAGATTACTTCCATAAGTATGGAAGGATTTTTGGCTTTGTATCTAGTACCGTAGCAAAATGATGTGGTTGAGGCTGAAAATGTCCACCCAGGAGGCACGCCAAGTTTACTCGAGCCGCTTCCCGGATTGGAAAGGAAGGTTGGTGCTGCAGGATTTGCTGCCTGTTATTGCAGATACAGGGGATTTGCATGGGGGTACTGTTAGGCAGGAGTATGATTCTTTCTTTGTCGATTCTGTGTTCTTCCCTTCTTGTGTCGTCTCGATAAAGAGATGCAAGTCGCAGCATTCGAGTCCCTGGAACCGTTGAGCACACTCGATTTATCAGTCAGGGTGGATGAACCCCAAGAGCAGAGATAACCTTAATTTGACCTTACGAGCTTTGCTGCAAGTTCTGGAAGTCAGCATTGTTTGATCGAGAAGTATTCTGGAGTTTGGAAGTAATGCATTTCTTAGAACTCCGGAGACGTAAAAGTTTCTAGATTTTGTCTAATGCAAATTGATTGCTTCAACGAGTTGCTTACCAGTCCGACGTCCGCGCCTCGTTCTCTTGAAGGCTCTCCGAGGAATAATACTTCCAGGGTTTGCAATACTTGGAGTTGGTAGAGTCACGAATTCAAGCATATTTCCCGATATAAGGGGTGAGTCTGTGTTTTTGATAATCCCAAAAAGGGGGAACATCCTCCTATATATAATTATTAGTCTGGCCGCGTCGATTGCGGTTGGTATCAAGCTGAGCTTGCTGACATGAAGGGGCTCATCTGCGGAAATAGACTAGGGGGCCTTGCTGACCTCTCGATCAAAGACCCACACGGGAAGAAATCTCAAGCCTTATCCAGAGCAAGAAGGGATGATGAGGACTACACGGCACTGGCAATGTCAAGAGTGAGACATCAAGCGCTACCATTTGCACGGTGGGAGGAAGACTGATTGTATTCAGCTGTATTTATATTAGACATCGTATTTCATGATCTCTGTTGAAACAGAAGGCAAAGTCCGCCATGTTTATATCACGTCAAAAAGTGGCAGCTGCAGAAGTCGTGTACACTGACTGGCCTTGGAGCTACCGGAGCAAGACCATTGCTCATCGCATAGCAAACAAGCGAGATTCTGTCGTGAAATGACGAGCATATGTTTCCGATGGACGGGTACAAGGGCTCTTGAAACCCACGAGAATGGTAACGAGGGTGTTGCAAGTGTATTTTATCTGGATATTGATACATACATTTACTTGTATTTGGCAAAGAGAAGAACAACGAGCGATCAGAGACAAACAAACGTCAAAGATAAGATTGCGTCCGCCTTCCGAGGAACTCGCCCAATATCATACAACATCATCGCAGATCATAGATAACTCGCAGAGACTGTAAAATGAGAAGTGTGACTCAAGGTTAGAGACGATATTGAAATACACAGATATGGATTGTCTATTTCATGAACGCAAGCCACTGACCATGGCGGTCCTTCAACTTGGGGATGATTAGATCAGGTACAGTACCTCGATGTATAAGCGATGACAAGGGGGCTTGGACGATTAATACTTGGGGACACTTTTTAGGTAGGACAGTGACACTTGTGCAAAAGGTAGACAAAAGAAATGGGGGTGCGGGGAGGGGTATCGGAAGATAACCAAGCAGTAAGCTTTCAACGGTAGAGAGATGTAGAGATGTGACTGCTGGATACGAGAAGCAATAGGAAAGAAGTACCGTGAAACACGTGACCAGCATCTGGCACCTACCTCAACCATCTCGAAGATCAGGCTGCAACAAAACTTTCAATACAAAGGCTTTCGCTGTTGCCTGAGTAAATCGCTGCGGTGCCATACCTCGAGAATATGAAGAACATTAGCCGGACAGGCTTTCTCGTAACCAGAAGTCTCAGAAAGAGTGGAATATAATGATATCTTGATCATCTACCAGGATCGGGACAAAGTAGATCTCTGTGTCCAAGTACGAGACAATATATGCGGAACGAGAATACAGGAAAAAGCCTCAAGCATGTACAGTAGGACAAACATGAACAACCACGTGACCGGGTCAAGGCTTCTAAACTTCTCGGAGCGCAAAGGAAGGTGATGAGGAAAAGCTCGAAAAGGTTGAGAAGCGCACAACAGAGTGAAAGCATGCTCATTTCCCAGCCAATAGCGCGCATTGATCTGATTTCCGCTATCAGACTTCGGTACGTGTCCCGATATCGATAGGTAACTACGTACTGTATCGATACGCATGGCGACTCGTATCGTGGTAGGTAAAGTTATTTCGGGATTGCTTTTGAACCCTGGACGGTGACCACCATTCCATGGAAGCGTCGGAACTTCTAGAAGATGGAAATTATTAATTGGGTAGCAATGGCTGATGAGCAATAATAAAACGGCCCCCTTTTCTGATATTACCCCAATATCAAATCCATCAATAGTGGAGCTTAGGCCCTGTCACGCCAATCTTACCGTATTACGAAAAATACATCCCAGCGCCATGATCACGGATGCAAATACGAAAGGAGCAAGATCGGAGTTGTTTTGATTTGGGGGTTGAGGGTTGGGGGTTGTTATTGTTGTGTTGTGTTTTGATATGAGCGGGATTGTAAACAATGATGATGCAGCAGTAGAGGGGTAAGATGGAGCGCATACTCGTATATCCTGTGGTAAGTGTCAACGTGGCATTTGATGGCAGTGCAGTGCAGTGCAGTTCACGTCAGCTTTCCCTTTCCTCTCCTCTCCTCTCCTGTTCTTTCCCATTTGATGTCGATGATGGCGATCGGTGGGAGTGGAATAAAAGAGGAGAAACACTTCAAACCCTCTAAAGCCTTAAACCCTGAAGGACGGTAACGGCTTTCCCGGTTAGCAGCCGGGGCAAGAGTTAAGACGATACGCAGGCACATCAACGCGTTGTGATTGGCCCGAGCGCGTCCCCAGAGTAAACAAGATGGCGGTATGGTAGTGTAGTGCCATGCCATGCCATGCACCCGTCCATCAATTTCATGTGTAAGTCTAATTAAGTCTCTTTTGACTGTGACCCCTTTTCTCTGTTCTGTTTTTACAACTTCATCTTCGTCTTCATATTCATCCTCATCGCGCCTGCTAGAAGTCGTCGTCGTCAATACCGGAAACAACAACAACGACAACAACAATAACAACAACACCACCACCAGTTGTGCGTAATTGGAGTGGGGATCGCAAGGTGCAGGTGCCACCCATCCGTCGCGTCAACGAATAAGACTAAGCGAGGCGCGCTCGAGTGGTCAACACCAAAACACCCATCCATCCATCCATCCATCCATCCATTCGTTTTCCGACTCTTTCCTCACGATTGCCACGCATTGCATTTACACCCACTCCTCCGCCCTCCACTCTTTCGTCTCCTTCCGCCTCTCTTCCCCTCCCCTTTATCAACATCCTCATCGCCATCGCCGACACATATTCTCTCGAACGCTGGCAGGCACCCTTAGGATCTGGTATTTTAGGGGTTGGGAGTGCGAAGTGTAGAGTCTAGTGCTATGCAGTTGGGATAGCATCAGCCCCAGTTCATTTCTTGTCATGAGTATTAGCCGTTCTTCTCCATGAGATCGACTCCTCCCACGTCACCACCACACCACAACCTCAGCGCTTCAGATCGCGAAACATTCCTCCGTCGTTTCAAACTGCAGCATTCCATTCAAGTCAACACTCGCTCCTAATCGAGCCAGTTTGTTATCGACTGAGCGAAAAACATAAGTGTAGACCGCCGACTTCCTCGCCTTACCCTCCGACCAACAGTCAGTCATACACTTTATCGACAACTGCATTCAGATTCAGAGTCCCTCAAATCTTCGAAAGATCTATCTCTATGCGGTGTGGAAAATAGTTCAGCCATCACCCCCAGAGAGTGAATTCTCTCCCCCACCTCATCTTAGATATCATACGCGAGCATTGCCGCATTCCAACTACAATCATGTCCTACTCCAATAGTGGTGGCGGGACCCTTACTTTGCCCTCCCCGACACACGTACACCACGTCGATGTTACCTCCGCCGTGAGATCTCTTAGGCGCTCGCTCTCAAGATCTCCATCCAAGTTCAATCTTGTCAAAAAGTCACCAAGCTCATCGCCCAAATCACCGCTATCGCCGTCGCCATTCTCGTCACCAAAGCACACTGTTTCGCAGCCTACTATCTTTACCGGTAGCACCAGCAATCCTCCGCACACACCGTCTCCGTTGGCCGTGCCATTTCCACCAAGCGCAAAGTTAGCACTGCGCTCTTCTGGGCGGGCCAAAACCGCTCCCCCGCGACCTTCTTCACGCACTCGAACGTCACCCAGGAGTCCCGTGAAACGTGTTTTGAGCCAAACGTCGGATGCTGGAAACGCGACCCCAAGCTCGTCCGCTACATCTACAAGCGGGCAGGAGAATAGTACAAGTACGAGCCCCGTGGAGCGCAAGAGTTTCGAGAGAAGCGCAAGGACGGCTTTCAATATGGACATTAGTGCGCCTGTAAATCATGCGCTCTCACGGCTGGGCGACGGGTGCAGTGACACTCCTCTCAGCGCGTCAACCTCGAGCCCTCTGAAGCGCAGTGATGCGATCATGAATCTTGATCAAGCAAGTTTAGGGAGCCCAGTCGCCAAAAGAAGGAGTTTACATGGTTCAGCAAGCTTTGGCCACGACTTCAATGTCTTTGATCACGGACCTGTATCCTCACCGCAATTCGATATCCATGACGATATTAATCATGAATATGAGTTATCCACATCGTCTCTCTCTGCTGAGAGCGGATCAAACCTTACATCAATGCCTCGTCGATCGTCTTCATTGCGGAAGTCTACTTTACAGCAGCGACACGGAGAGAAGACTTCATGGGGCAGAAGACACGCAGCTCAACTTCTGGCTGCTCAACATCAGGCCAACAACAACGCCCCAGATGTATCCACACCCCAAAAAAACAGACCCCGAGTGTCTTTGGACTCATTCATGCCCCCTATGGCTAGAGATAGTCCTTTTACCTCACAAGGCAGTCTTCCAAATGCATCCATGCACATGGTCAATCAACCAGCGCATCAACCTCATCCATTATCGCGGACTATGACCACTTCCTCGTCAAGTTCGAGCCTCGTTGATGAATCTCCTACGCATGTCCCGGTTAATTTTAACGATCAGCGGAGGCCTAGACTAGATTTCTCCAAATCTTTGCCCGCAGGGTCGTTGAGGCCATATCCACTTGGACGACCATCTGGAGAAGATGAGAATGGGTCGTTTTCAACACCTCAAAATTACAAATCGGTGAAGCCGTTACCAGCTGCATTCATGTCTACGGGCCTCATCTCCAAAGTCAATCGCCATCCAGAAGAGCAACATGTTTCTTATGGTGCCAAATCGAATGTTCCTGACACACCGTGTAAATTCAAACCAGTCAATATCTTTGCGACCTACCCTCAGCAGCAGGTTCCTGGCAGCGCAATTGCCAAGGCGAGACACATTCGACACTCCTTTGGCACACCCTCAACACCTTTCAACCCCCATGGGACCCAAGTTGCACCAGTCACATTTGGAAAGGGAAATGGTGTATTCGGTAGCGCATTTGGCAGACCGGGTTCAACACGACGAGGCAGCTTTCTCAGTGTTGATGGAGATGATGGCGACCTGAAGGGTGACAGCCAGAGTTCTGAATTCGACCTTCCGCCAACTCCAACAAAGCAGGCTCTTGCACCTGGCTCGGTGTGGCACCAGAGCAATGGAAGTCCAAGCAACCATCGAAGTATGGCCGCTTCCACATCCGCTGTGGGCTATGGCTTATCCAAGAAACTCCCCAGAGTGAGCAGTAAGTTGAATCTTTCTACAGGCCCAAGCGAACAGGAAGCAGACGATAGTGATGGATCCATGGACATGAGCGACTCTCCGACTACAGCCAATACTAGGCTTGGCCCCAAAGCTTTCATGTCCATGCCGTCCGTCAGCAAGTCTCGTTCACTTAGGACTTCATTTATACATTCTCCGACTCCAATGATGTCGAAGTTTCGTACAATAGCCTGTCTCAGCCCCTCAAGAACATTGAGCTTTACTAAAATTAGTATTCTGGCTCCAGCGAGTCCGTTGGAGCGCATAGATTTCGTCGAGAGGCTCTCGCCTCAAACACCACAGGACAGCATGCTGCCACCTGACCCTAGTGGTCTTTCCATCTCAAACCCCCGCGATATTCAGATTGGAAACTCAGGTCCTACCAGCAGTGCCTCTATGCCACCTCCAGCCACCCCGACTACTGGCCGAGAATACTTCGCACAGATTGGGGATCGACGACTCAGCATGACACCTATTAGTAACTTTACGGGACCGGAACTTGATGAATCACTCTCGTCACGATTCGAGAAGGCGGAGTTGATCGGGACGGGAGAGTTCTCTCAGGTCTATCGCGTCACACAAACTACGCCTCTCAACACAACCAATTCTTTCTATCTTGGGGCATCTGAATCGCCACTGCAACGTAGAACTCCCCCAACGCCCTTACCAGAACGGGTGTTTGCTGTCAAGAAGTCACGACAGCCTTACCAAGGCATCAGGGACCGTCAAAGGAAACTGCAGGAAGTCAACGTGCTCAAAGCACTGGGACAGTCTGATTACGTCGTACATCTCATCGATAGCTGGGAAGAGAAAAACTACCTTTATATCCAGACTGAGTTCTGCGAAGAAGGCAGTCTCGATCTTTTCCTCTCGCAGGTGGGCCGAAAGGGAAGACTGGATGATTTCCGTATTTGGAAGATCATGCTTGAGCTCAGCCAGGTAAGTTTGATGCCATCCTAAGAGATAGTTGAGGGCTAACACAAGTTCTAGGGTCTGAAGCATATTCATGATTCGGGATTTATTCATTTAGATCTCAAACCGGCCAATATCTTAATCACTTTCGAAGGTGTGCTCAAGATTGGCGACTTCGGCATGGCCGCTACGTGGCCTGCTCAGTCTGGGATCGAGGGAGAAGGCGACCGTGAATACATTGGTCCGGAGATTCTCTTGGGCAAATACGACAAACCAGCCGATATATTTGCTCTAGGTCTCATCATGCTCGAGATTGCTGCTAATGTTCAACTTCCCGACAACGGTCCTACATGGCAACGACTTCGCTCCGGTGACATGAGCGACATCCCTAGTCTTACCTTCAGTAATGACAGCTCGATGCTGCGAGACGCCGAAGGGATTCCTATTCAGGAAAGCGATATAAGTATGGATTTATTCGGCAGTGATGATGAGCTTGAGACAGACTTCGGTTCTCCCACTCTGACTTCTCGCAAGCGAAATATCGGGGGATCGAGCAGGTCATTATCTCATGATCCTGGAAACCTTTTTGGCTCTGGACGAAGAGGCGAGCTTCACCAAGCCCCACCGTTCATGAGGGACATGTACCATGTTCACGCCCTGGACAGGCTCGTTCGCTGGATGATCAGCCCTACCCCCGAGAATCGCCCAACCATCCACCAAGCCTTGGAGTCTGATGGCATTCAATGGGTCGAATCTAGACGTCGGGCAGGCGCAACAGTTTTCGAGGGCAATTGGGGTCCAGCTGATGATATCCTCGCCGATGACGCCGAAATGATGGATGTTTGAGGTTTAACCCCACTGAGATTTTGCCCAACCGACTTGCTCATATACCATCCGCCGTAACTCGCTCGCTCCTGGATAGGATCGGCGAGGGTTTGGATGACTCCTCTTTGAATTTGGAACTGGTGTTACGGCGTTTGCAGGATAATGGTGCGGGTACACGATCTTCACTTGCAAACGACGAACGATGACGACGATATATTATATCAGCCTTATAAGCTTTTTGCCCGCTCTTTACATAATCTTCGAGGCGCGCCCCCAAATAGCTTTTTTACGCATTCACGAAGTCCACGAGAAGGAATGATTATGATAGAACTCGGGTGTGAAGAGTAATAATCATGTGTTTCAGATTATGATAGACCTTATACGCTTACTTTTGCCAGTTTGTGTATTCGATTCTTGTCTTGTCGCTTTGTTTTTTGGTGGATGATGTCTTCAACTATTATGATGCTTGCTTGCTTGCTATAGCTTAACCAGATTTTGGTTGCTTTGTATGAGCTATGTTTGAGGGAGGGGGGTATTACTGCTGGGACAGGGTTTTGATGATGTACATAGAAAACCGATACTGTCAGCATGTGAAACCTCTAATAGAGATGATGAATAAGAATCTTGTCATCTTTTAGAATTTGTGAATTTTTGATCATGTGATTATTCTCGAAACCACCAGCCACCAACTGTTGGATGCCCTGCCTTTCCGAAGCCGAATCACCCCTCCCCTTCCCACAGCTGCTGGCTGCAATCCATCTATATCAAAGGCTGCCACCAGAAGCATCATAGTCTATAGAGCTTAGTCACTCTTAAGATCGGGTGAATAGATAGGATTGAAACTACTCGCTTCACTAAGCTGGGTAATAAGGAGAGCGGAGTGAGTGGGTGGTTGGGTGGCTGATAGACTAACTCTTCGAACATACGATGCCTATTTCAAAGAAAACAAGCCGGGCCCTTTTTTTGTCTCGATAATACTGTATACTCGAGTACCTGATGTCGTGGTGGTATAGTATGTAGAATCAATTATATGTCTAACTAAGACTTGTTACAAAGTAAAGTCACATACATACATACATACATACATGCATTACTCAAGATAAAAACTAGACGTGATGGGAGAGCACAGCAAAGTATCATCACAACCTCATCATTCACACAATCTAAGTATCTCGAGACCCTACAAGTCCCCTCCCTCGCAATCATCATATAACGTCTCGCTCAGCGTCTTCTTCTTTCTTTTCGATTTGTACACATCTCCTACCTATATTCTACACATTCTCATTCGCTCGTTCGCTTGCTCCCTCGTCAAACTAACACAAAAACAAAAACCAGCCGGGTATCGTGATTCGCCCTTTTGCAGAGAAAGGGAAAAGTCCCATTCTTTAGTGTGATGGATGACCGTCTATGGTTGAATTTCGCCGCCTCCCACCCAGTCCCAATACAAGAAGGAAAGAAAGGAGAGCCCATGCCATCCATGCTCGTAACTTTTGAAAGTCTTTTGTTCTCCGTGTACTGTCTGTCCAAGCCCGTGATCCTGAAAATAAAAAAAAGCAAGTGAAGAAGCAAGCATGTGTATGCTGTTCCAATTCCACTGCAAATGCGCCTCTTTCTTTCGCCCACGCTTGATTCGTAAAAACGCTCGCTGAATTGTACAAGACGGAAGCAAGATGACAAAGGAAAGTTTGGGGTGTGGTGTTTTAACCACGTGCCGTGCTCGCAGATAGACCCTGTATTATATGCACAAGATCAGGATCTTGGTCCGCGGCATTCGGTTTAACCATCGCTCGGCCCTCGACGGATATACTCCTAATACGCTGGCTCAAAGGAAGTGTGTACCTGAGTGTTCCTCGAACAATCAGTTCGAACTCGTGCTGCAACACTCTCCCCCATCGCTGGCTCCCCGCGGGGCTGGTCTTGTTGCCCGGGTGATCAATGCGAATCTGACCCATACTTTGGGACTTTGTGTGATGGAATGGAGACCCCTCGAATGTTAATGGGCTGTCGAGTTCGTAGACGTGACCGATTTCCAGGTTTGGGTTTGTAGAAGGATCCTTTCCAAGGGGCGGATCGTAAGGATCATCGTCTCGTTTGCGGAGTCCTCGTCGAAGTATATCATCAGGTCTTGGAGCATGCGCCCACCACTCTGAATCTGTACCGGCATATTTTGACTTGGCGAAAAGGACCAAATCTGATGAATCCACAACAACAGCCACAATGTTTGGATTCCTTCCCTGTACCAGCATGTCGAAGATGACATCTTGTTCACTTGCAAGGACATTCTTCAAAGACAACACCTTGACTTCGGTAAGAGGCTGAGTTGTCGCAAACATGAACCCAACAGCTCCGGATATTACCAAAATTATCATCATCGAAAGCACGAAACATCCTGCAAATCTTGCAAAGAACGACTGATTTTGTCTCGACGCTTGGTGTTCCAGTTGACGCATCGAAGATCCACCCGGTCGTCGACCTCGATTATTAGATCTTGCCGAGCGAACAGTCGGAATTAATGGTGTACGCTCATCATCCGCCCCATCATCTAAATCATACCCCGACAGAATCGGCGAAGACTTCTTTCCATTACCCACCGTTCTCGTATTCGAATATTTCGGACTTGTAGGCCGTGATGATTGTCTAGATGCATTTCCCGATAATTTTGATTTTGTTGCACTTGGAAAAGGAGATTCGTTATCAAAGATGGATGCGTGGCCATTACCACCATTTCGACCCCATCGACCGATGTGGTGATGATGTGTTGTTCCTCTACCCGTACCTAGGTTACTTCGTGCTGTACCTTTGCCGTCGTCTTCGCCTGTGGTCGTCTCTTGGCCGGTACTGTTGTAAGATGAGTGTGCAAATTTCATACTTTTCTTCATAGCCACGCTGTGACCGCCATCAACCACAGATCTGGAGCCTTTCCTTTGGTCTGCCTGACTTGCCATAGAAGTGGCACTGGGCGTTCGAGAGTGATAGCGTCGGGGTTGATCGCTGGAGTCTGGCGGATTCGATTCGTAGACAAAGGTCTCCTCGGAGTCCGATGAATCTGCTTCGTCGACCGCGCTGGCGACTTTGGCTTCAAAGATATCTGCTTTTGAGGATGCTGGACGGGTTCTGATTAGCAAAGAACTTACACTACTAATGCTCATTATACTTGATTTTCGAGATACTGGAACAACAAATTGACTATGTTGGACTTGATGAACAGGACTTGGTTCACCACTGCTTGGTGGCGAATACGAGCCTTGACCGTACGCCCAATCATGTGACCAAGGAGCAGTAACCTTTCTTGTAGAATGATGATGTTGGGATCTAGACGAATGTGGACGCTCACCCGTGCCAGAAGTTACTGACGGAGTCTTCCGGCCAGTCTTCTTCTTTTCTTTCTTCGGCCGTATTGTCTCGGAGCTTGGTTTCGCACGGATGCTACCGCTGGCACCTTGCCCACTTACGTTGACTTGCGGTACGGAGCTGACAGTCTCCGCCTCCACTGTCATGTTCCTGGTTGACTCCCCTGACGGTTTCCCTCTACCAGCGCCAGCGCTTACGGAGAAGGACTTTGTGGCGGGACCACCCGGCCGTAATGCTGTAACTGGAGGAGCAGTTGCACTCCTCATCTTAATCTCGCCCTTGCCGCCGCTCTCGCTTCCGCTCTCGTTCGCAGTAGGAAAGCTAGAAGTAGCTCTGATAGTAGAAACAGAGGACCCGTCTTCGGATGGAGCTCCGTATGAACCATCTTCCGACTTCTCGGAGCCATCAAAGCTCCTTGCAGGAGTATTTGGCTGGCTGATCTCTTGTACAGTCTCCAATGTAGTACTAGCCCCGCTGGCACCCCTCGCCGGCGTTCTCATTCCCGGTGCTAAAAGTGAATCTTCTACCCCGGAGTCCGTCTGTGGTTGCTTTCCTTCTGATTTCTCTGGTGCCTTCGATAGTCGCTGAACATTGATGGCCGGGCCCTCCTGCTCGGGTTTCCGCGGTGAAATGATGGATGGCGTGTTTGTAGGGGGAGGTGATCTAAGTCTTGGGGATATGGGCCAGCGAGGGGTGTCCTTGATCTCTGAAGTAATTGACGGTTTCTGTGCAACTGGAGCTCGTATGATGGGCTCCGACACCCCTGGGTGTAAAGTGGGTATAGACGCAGCAGATAGAGCTCTTTGAGTAGCGGCAGCAGATGGTGGGTTTGTATGAGTGCTGGACGAACGCGAGGGACTAACGTCCTGTACGCTGTTCTTTCTCGAACGATCACCGGCAGACCGAGTTGTCGACGAGGTAGATTTGTTGTTTAGTGAAGGGCGGACAGGAGACGATTCTCGCGAAGGTGAAGGGCTGTTTGCGGCAGACGGCGTGGGGGTTCGTCTGGGTTGGAGTCTCTTTGTTGTGGTGGTATTGGTTGTATTGGTGGGTATTGAGGGTATTGAAGAGTCGCGAGATAGTTTAGACGGCGTCGAAGTCGATTGGTGGTGGTGGTGGGATTGGTTACTGGCGGCCGCTGCTGTTGTATCCGCTGGCTCAGCTGTCTCATTCGACGTACCAGAAATTGAGTTGGACATGTTTACACGGAGGAAAGGTTGGGGTTCAAAATGTAGTAGTATGTCGTAGTCGTAGTCCCGACTCTATTATTGCCCGGCCTTCTCCACTGTACACCAGCGCACGCGAAGAAGAATCCCGGTTTTGGTAAGGCCAGCGCCAGCCAAGGAAAAGGTGGGGACCTAACGGTAGGGCAGGGCAGATGTGTGTGGCGTGGTGTGGTGTGTAGTGTACTCGGATTGTCGGTATGAATATGGGTATGGGTATGGGTATGGGTATGGTATCGGTATGGGGTGTGTGACTTCTTTGTGGGTGGAAGAGTGAAAGACAGGCAAGGGACACGAAAACAGACTGAACTCGGAGGAGTTGGTCCATTCAAGGCAGCTGGGTGCAGAAGTCGTGAGTGAAAATGGACGGTGGATGGATGGATGGATGGATGGATGGACACAGATGTGGATGGCATTTAGAAGTTGCATTTGCCTGCGTTGTCATCAACCAGAAACATACAAGGATGTGCCGCCAGGGGAAGCCGAGGCGAGGGCGAGGGCGAGGTACAGTACTGTACTGTACTGCACGGTACGGTACGGTAAGAAAGTGAAAGTCATCGCAAAGCCATGGAGTGGAGTGAGAGAGTATTCTACCTACCGTACAGTAGTGAGAAAGAATAAGATTAAGATCAAAGCAGCGGTGAACTTCCCTTCCTGATGCAGATCGCTTTGCAGGCTATTGTTCTTCTCACTCACTATCATAAACAATTGCCAACACATCTACGAATACAGTATTAATATGCGCCATTTTAGTTACGTACTTTTGATTACCTAGGTAGGTAAATTTATCTCCTCACAGTAGATGATATCTCGGTACAAGTAAATACCTCAGTAAATGTCTTCAACATTGCTATTCCGAGCTTTTAGACCCAGACGTTTGGGATTCCATGATACCGACAAATCGCATGCCCTTCCCTTCCCTTTCCCCATCTTCCCCATCTTCCCCATCCTTTCCCGCACACCATCAGGGTCCGGGATGGTAATGTACTGTATGTTTGCTGGATCTTCGATCTGTTACCCCTCCCCTCCCCTCTCTTCTCTGCCATATTAATGATGACGGGATGACAGTTTGACGGGCCGCGGCTTACCTAGGTACATCCAGCCAGCTGTGGCTGAATATGCAGATACCGCAGATCTAGAGAGATCACTTGATATTCAAGATGCAACCTCAGTCCACCCAAAACCTGTATCTCCTTCTGCAACGTATATTACCTACTATGCGACCGACCCATTGCAGCACAACGGGCAGACAGGGAGGGAGGGAACATCTCCAAGTGACCGAAATAAGGCAACACAGGGATGTTTATTGCCCTCTACCTTGGCATCGCATTACATTTTGCCAAGTGGCTTACCCATCAGCCATCGAAAGAACATCAGGAGACAGACCAAAAGTATCGACCCATCGAATATCTTTTGCAAAAAAGACACGACTGATCTCGAAAACATTTGCACTGTCCTGATCCGGAGGGCAACGGAACGACCGATCCTTCTTCTCATAGCGTTTCCTAAAAATCCAGCCTGAAATCCCGACCGTCTACTCGTCCACGTTTCAACGTTCCAGAAGCTCTAGCCTGTCCGTCCGGATTCTGCAGCTTGACCCAATAATAACGCGGGTTCCTGAATCTAATCCCGAAGGTCCCGCACGCACACACCCAAACGCATTCATCCATCATCCCATCTCCATCCCACGCTCTCTTGCCTACCCCCACCAAGCTGACCACACCACACACCCTATTCTGACAATACTCACGTGAAGAGAAATCTAATCTGGACAACGCAGCATGCCTCTCTCTCTCTTTCTCACACACTCTCTCTCGCGCCCAGCTTTGTACTGTGCAATAATAAGCTGAAGGATCAGGGGGAGGGTCAGCTTTAAATGAAAAGGGGCTCATGACCTGAGCGTAAGGCTGCGAATGTCTCTCCTTGGTGGGGGTCCCTCTGGGCTGGGCTGTGAGACATTGCATGTGCCTAACTGCATCACCAGCGCTATTGTGGTCTTTAGCTAGCAGCACTTGTACTCGAATACCTTTTCCATTTACGTCTTCTCTTTTTCTTTTCTTTACGTCCCTATTTTCAAGGCAGGCATTGCCCCCCTTACGTTGCACAGGGTTTCCCTCAATAGAAAGTGACATCAGAGCTTTTGACGCTCTGATCGGAGACCTTCGTGTCTTACTTAGACCGCTTAACAAAATATCATTGGGTTTTGTGTCTTGTAGTTTGGATGGGTGTTCAAATAAGAAGAGCTGTAGATTACAAATATCCTAGGAAGACATAAGCAGATAAGAAACATCAGTAGACGGCCATGCAAAATGCAGCAGAACTTCGACTGGTCCAAATTGAATGACTCTTGCATTCATAGTACGATAGGTAACACGACAAAGGAACCAAGATCAACTCTAGTCCAAAGCCATCCATAATCTTTGAAAATATGGAGAGAAAATACTACCTTAACCTTCAGCTTAATGTCTCGCTCAATTTGAAGACTGAAAACAATAATCTCGGCTCAAGAAACGCACCTCTCACTTGAACTCGAGGTTGGGGTCATTCATTCTCGCGTTGAGGAAAAACAGTCACCGACAAAACAACGTGGCGTACAAGTAGAGAACAGAAATTAAAGAACTCACTGCCAGAGTGACATGGAATGATGCGCGAAAACACCTAGTGCTTAGGGGTAGTCCTCATTCCATTGTATTATGCTCAAAGCATCCCAAGTTATCCTACACTCCGTAGTCCCATCATGGCGGCTCGAATTAGCTGTGCTGTTTCCTTTTGCTACCCCTTCATGCTATTGCTGTAGGTGCCGTATGTCCCTGTTCTGAAAGCTATACCTTTATACCCCGTAGTAATTACAAGTCCCATTAAGTTCGATTCGATAGGATATTAAGCCAGAGTACCGCATATTTCGTACCTGGCGTGAAGAGATCTCGATGTCAAGTGTATCGCCATGTTCAATCATCCTCCTCATCACTCGTAGCTTCGATATTCAACTTCTCCTCCTCTTTAGCCTTAGCCTTTATCTTCCGCTTCGGCTTAACCTCCTCCTCTGATTGTTCCGCTTCAACCTCTTCAGATCCTTCGATTTCGACACCCTGTGAACGTAAAGCCGCGTTTATCGCTGGAATGGCTTTGACGAAGGCTTTGTATTGATCAATTGACAGGGAAATGCCCTAGCAAAGTAAGAATCAACCACGCAAATGATAGGCATAATAAGTACCTTCCTGCTCGGCAAGTATTCGTCATCCTTCTGGTAGAACTCCCGGATGTTGACCAGCTTCGAGCCCTTGAATTCCGAGACTTCGACTCTGCGGGGAGTGTTGGAAGATGAAAGCTTGAGGTCTTGTCAGAGTCTATTTTGAGTGGACGTGGCAGAAACAGCTCACCTCCCAGAACTTGCTCTCAGGGTTGGCTTTGGCTTTGGAAGCTGCATTCTTACTCTTCTTGGTCTTGGGGGCCTTTCCGTCATCGTTGGAAACGAAGCCACCATCGGACTCGTAGGTCTCAACCTCCTCATGACCTCTCTTTCCTTTAGCCATTGTGATTGGGTGAGAAACCGGGGTTGGAGTAATTGGCGATGCTCGCTTCGGTGGACTGAGCGTTTGATTCGAGAGAAAGTGCTTCTTAATTATTGTTCTCGATGTTTGCTTGAGCTTAAGGAAGTGTATACTTGGAGTTATGTCAAATGCGGAGTTGCTATATGCTTCGATCCGACGCGACAAGACGCGAGCTGGCAGGGCTAACCCGGCTGTTTCTTGAAAGGGTAAAGCGGATTCTATTTTAAAAGGGGGACACATAGATTATGTAGGTAAACCTCATGATTTACCCATTCAAACAACTCGCATCTGTGAATAAAAAGAGGACCTGTTGCACAAGCACAATATTGATTGCGAAGAAGACACCTTGCCCCTCAATCCGATCAATCCCCCGGGTTGCGCAATCAAAGAATCTCGGACCGTCAAAGAGTCTCCGGTCCCTCAGTAGGCCTCGAAAGACCGAACCAGCCGAATTCAGCATGCGCCAGCACCAATTACCAGGGCGATGAACGGAACAGGCGGAGACTCGAAGCAGGGCGACGGCCTGGCTGTCGCCAAAGAGCCCAAGCCTGTAATAAAACATCCTTGCGCATCAACGAGGGAAGACGACCTGACTACGAAGGCATTGCGCTTTCTATCTACAGCCTCCGTGGAAACACTGGGTGGAATTGCCGTTAGTCTTGCGGCTTGTACATATCTCGTCCTGGGAAGACTGGGGTTGGTTTTGATCGGAATTCTGGGAGGAGTGGTGTTGCATGCAACATGGGAGGGCCAGAGCTCTTTGGCTGGTACGGTTGAGGATGCGCGGAGAGAAAAGGGGATGGACATAGTCAAACGGATTCTGGATCTGAGGGAGGGCAAGGACCAAGATGTGGAAGAAGATATCGAGGACCAGATTAAAGTGGCTAGCTTTGAAGGTTTCCAACCAGAAACTAGAGCAGCTCTCAATGATCTTATCGAAGCTGTTTTACAGAACTATGTAAAGTGGTGGTACAGTCCCATTCTTCCAAAAGACGAGTCTTTCCCAGCAGCAACCCGCCAGACTCTCACGAGATTCATCCTGTCGGTTTCCCACCATCTTTCCCGAAAGCGTCCCGCAGATACGTTCCTCGACTTCCTCACCAATTCCTCCTCGATTGTCATAGTTTTCCTCAATGAATTATCAAGCGCCATGTCTGCAACACAAGGAATGGGTATGCCAGCAACTGAAGCTGTATATACATACTTGTCTTCAAATCCCGACTCGAACCTTGCAAATGTCCTCAACGAGAAGCAGCAGATGAAAAAGTTCAAAATGATTGCTGAAGATATACTGCAAAACTTCCTGGAGAAGTCAGCCTATGATTGTGATCCAGCAAGGATCTTCTTGAGAGAGATTCTAGGAGGTGTTGTGCTGGATATGACATTAAAAAGTTGTTCAAAACCGGAATGGATAAATGGATGGATTGTATATCTTCTAGAAGATGGCGAGCCGGATTTTAACCAAGCCATAGATGCAGGTATGGGTAATGGGCTAGAGACTGGGAGTCCATTTCATGATATAGATGGTAATGTGGGCAATATTGGGTTGGCAAAACCCCTCAAGTCGCAGATCGAGAAGCAAAACCAGGAGTCTAAGCGACACAAGAAACGTTTGAGCAGGGCAGAGGAGGCAATGGAGGAGGCAATGGAAGAAGCAAAGAGGCTCTCCCAGCTTATTGCAGAAGAGGACGCAAAGAAAACTCAAAGCACCTCACAACCATTAAACGACGGTCCCAAGACTTTAATGGATGCCGTGGAAGAGAACGCTCATGAACTGGACTTGAAGACGACTGAGTTGACCGGCAATACACCAACGCAGTCTCATACCAAAGAGCTACCTACCACCGAAAATCGCAGTAATCGTCCCGAAACTCCTATTTCTCCCAAGCCTACTGCGTCTAGTTCATCGTTACCATCGCAGACAGGGTCTTCCTTCACCAGCTTCGACCAGATTGTCCCACAACACCTTCCCCTTGCGCTTCAAGAGGGCTCGCCACGTTCTCGAAGAAAAACGGTGTCCTTGACACTTCACAATGCGAATATCATCATTCATGATGACTCAACGCCATCCGACAAGGGCAAGATTCGCACAAAGCCCATGGGAGATTACCTTGTTCAAATTGAGCCTGTATCCTCCCATCATCCCGGGTGGATGATTGTCCGAAGATACCCTGATTTTGAGATTCTTCATGAGGTTCTACGACGAATTGCACAGGTTTCAGGTGTTACAGCATTCACAGAACAGCACTCGACATTACCTAATTGGAAAGAGCATACAAAGCCGTCATTGCGAGGCGAACTTGAACGATATTTACGTGATGCCTGTTGGTATCAGCCTCTCGCTGAAAGTGAAGGAATGAAGAGATTCTTAGAGAAAGACCAAGGTCACACGATGTCTGGTTCAAGCTCGAAGAATGGGAATGGCTTCCCCGGGATTGGCTGGCCAACCCCTTCAGCTTTTGAGACGATGGGTAAGGGGATGCTGGATGTACTTGCGAGCGCGCCCAAAGGAGTCGCTGAAGGTGGGAAAGTCATTGGTGGTGGCATCACTGGAGTCTTTTCCAACATTGGAAATCTGGGCCAGAAGAAAGCAAATGGCACACCTGTGAGCTCGACAAATGTAGGAGTCCACACTGCAGCTCGAGCGTCAACATCGACGTTACCTAGAATGGACAGTCAAATTTCTCTTAGTGGTTCACGAAAGGGAAGAGCGAGTGAAGACAGTTTGCGAGTATCGCCGATTATTCACACTCAACCATCCAAAATACCACCTATGGAACGAAGGCCAAGTAGCAATTCGATTGCTGAGGATACAAATGAAAACGAGCCTCGTGTGTCATCTGCGAGGTCGTCAATGAGTGGACGACGAAGCACAAACCATAGTCGAGATCCAAGCAGAGCGCCTTCGAGAACTACTCCCCTATCATCTCCCACACAAGAAAACATTCCAAGGAGAATCGATGAGATCAAATTGCCACCCCCGCCAAGTGATATTGCCGATGATTATGGTGTGCCAATCGAAGAATCTTCTGCAACAGCTCGGACATCCACAAGTACTGCGCCCTCTCCAGGCCGACCATCGCTTTCCACGCCTAGGAGGCTCTCCGTGCCTGTGGTTCAGACTCCTGCTCGCAAGATCCGCAAAGAGCCTGCCCCTCTTTCGGAAGCGGAAACTCGAGTCGCTGTCGAACTCCTCTTCGCCGTCATCAACGAGCTCTATACACTGTCTTCGGCATGGAATATCCGCCGCACACTACTCTCTGCAGCAAAGACATTCCTCCTACGACCCAATAATCCTTCCTTGAACTCGATTCAGTCTCTCATTCAAGACTCGGTCATAGCTTCGAACACTACGGACGCGGGTATTGCGGCACAACTTCGAAAACTTCGAGAGAACACAATGCCTACAGAAGAAGAATTGAAGGCTTGGCCCGCAGAGATGTCCATGGAAGAGAAGGAGAGATTGCGAATCAAGGCTAGAAGGCTACTCGTTGAGCGAGGTGTGCCAGCCGCCTTGACGGGTGTAATGGGGCAAGCCGCAACGGGCGAAGCAATGGGACGGGTCTTCGACTGCCTACAGATCGAGGAAGTGGCGCGAGGTTTGATATTTGGGTTGCTATTACAATGTGTTCGGGCAGTGACACATTAGATGAGGGGAATGATATCCAGGTGGGAGGTTTTCATATATGTAATCTTAAGACGAGGCTGATGAATGGGTGATTCTACACATGTACAATAGATGCAACGGTTCATGATGGCGCATGGAGGATTGCTGAGCTTCTCTTCGGCTTGTCTACACTTTGTAATACGGAGGAATAATGCTATTGTGTTATATTCTTGACAACGCATATGCCCCTTCTTGCCTGCGTGTGCCCGTTCGTGCCCGACAGACTGTCTCCGCGTTGTTGTTCCCTTCCGTTGCCTCAAGCACCCTCAAGCACCCTCAATTCATCCCTTTATGTCTATTCCATGCTGTGTAGAGCGTTGGGTGGTGTTCTCGCACTGTTCGAGCGGCTCGTCAGGAAGCGTTCGTCGTCGTTCGTTGTCGAGTACACCAAGTCAGCCAAATGCTCTCGGGACATGGAAAGTAGTTGTGGATGTTCCTTACCTGCTCCTCTCTGCCTCTCTAAATTATCCTGCCTGGGTACGCTCTCTATCCCTGGCATTTCAGCTATTACTACAGCCTGCACTCTCCGTCCTCACCTCATTTTTTTAGCGTTGCCTCAAAAATCAGGCCGGATTTCTTTTGTTGACTCTGTCATCAAAACACCATCAGATTTCGAACTTGAGCACAACAAACCACAATGCATTGATCGTTTTTGCCTGATAATTGGTACATTGCTCTTACTAGTATCTAAGTGTCTCTTGCGATGTTCATCGGCTGTTTTCCCTCTTTTTCCCAGTCCGTTTCAGGTGTTCTCGCTTTTCGTCGTGTTTGCTCCCCCTTCTTCACTCTTTCCTCATTTGACAGAAAGCTTCATCTTTTAATGCATTTGCGCAAGTTTTTCGTCCTAAACTCGTAGCGTGAGACGGCCAGTATAAGAATTTCTCTCGCCCTCAGCTTTTCTGCTTTCTTTTCTTCTCTCCCGCTTTCCCGAGATTTTTAACGTTTCCAACGCTTTCACATCTCATACTTTCCAAAGCTTTCATTGTTACAAGACTGACCATCTTGTACAATCCCCCATTACTTTCCACCTCTTTCTCACCTCTCTTCACTCTCGCCATTCTCATCCTCCACATCGGCGTGCCGACCATCCAGCCAAATCCATAGTCGACACAGCGATGCATTACTCCTCCATCGCCATCACCAACACGCCTGGTGTTCTTAGCAAGAGGCTCCCAGCATCCAGTGCTGTCAGAGTCGCTGAGAGCATCAGGCTCCACACCGAGAGGGTAAGTCACTCACCCATTCCTCCCTCCCTCTTGCATCCCCATCATCATTGTCGCTGTCGTCGAATTGCTTGTTGCATGTCGCACCCCAATTGTTCAATATGCGCTCGATTTGAGCGGTGCATACTATGATACTCATGCTCAGTGAGCTGTTTGGTCGCTTTTGACAAGTTGTCGAAGAGTTTGCGGCCGTTTTGGCCTTGTTTTCGCTGTTTTCCTGTCGCTCAAGCTGGGCGATCGAGCGGATTTCATGAGGTTATCCAGATCTGTTTTTGTTGGTTGCATCATCACTCTGCAAAATTTTCTAGCGTCTTAGAAAAATGAGATGGTGCTCTTTCCCTTTGCAAAGTTGAGCAAAAGCGTCCCTTCCCCCTTTTCTTCATCTCGCTTAATCACACTCATGGTGATCCACTCGATCGCCTCACGTGAAAGTCACATGTAATGCGCACACGTGATACATTATTCCATCATGTCACATTCATCCTGTCTGGAACTTGCACTGTACTGTGTGGACTACATCTACTGGATGTTGTCTCAAGTCATGTTCAGTTATCTCGTCGTCCCTTGTCCCTTGTCCCTCACCAATTACTCTTGTCGCCCCTGTGTTCAACCTCACTGTCTCCAGACCATGTCGTCTCACCCTCTACCATACCATGTTCCTGTCTTTCAATTCGTCCTTAACATCCTCCCTCACCTGCTTGAACCTCACTGTCTCCAGACCATGTCTCACCCTCTACCATACAATGTTCCTGTCTTTTCTCCTGAACATCCTCCCTCACCTGCTCTCAACCTCACTGTCTCCCGACCATGTCATCTCACCCTCTACCATACAATGTTCCTGTCTTTTCAACCCATCCCTCAATATCCTCTCATCGCCCAGTCGACCCCATCCACAGGTTTCAGCCTCTCTTCCAAGTTCCATTTCTTCCATCTGTTTCCTTGTGTCTTTCATTGTTTCATGACATACAACACATTCTCAACTTCACAATCTCCACAGCTAACATCTTCTTTCAGGTTCAAAAGGCCCGAGCTTCTACCAATCAACAAGCTCCCAAGCCTTTTGCAGTCGTTGCCACGCGACTTACCCCAAAACTCTCTACTCCGGTGACCAAACTTGGTGATTCCACCACCCCTCTCCGCGTTTCCAAGGCCCCCGGACCAAGGACCCCTGGGACTACCAGGACCATTTCCAGGACCAGGACGGCCATCCCCTCCATTCTCAAGAAGAATCCAGGAATTCCCAATGGACCGCCCAAGCGGGTCCACTTTGAATTCGACAAAAAAACTTGCGCAGCCCTCCGCTACTTCGTAGCATACGAGCCTCACTGCGCCAAGTTTATTCGGTCTCCAGACCAACAATCCAACATTCCTCACCTAGCAGGAACTGTTAGGATCCATACGTCAAACGGAGTGCTCATCCAGGAGCGCTTTGACGGTCACTACAATCCTCCCATTTGGACTGGAACCTATGGACCGGACGGCCACTCCCCCACCCCAGGCGACCCAGGATACGGAACCAATCGCCACTGCAAATCCTGCATCCGCGATGCTTCCTCTGGATCCTTCCTATGGACCCAACCTTTGGACCTGGAACTGGACCACGGAACCTCCCAGGATTATTCGGACCTCTGGCACCTGGCTCAAAATAGGTATCGTTGTGGTGAGCATGTTCTTCAAAGTTGAATAAAACAAAATTGGGTTTCTGACTCTACCAAAAAAACTAATAAAACAAAAAACTTCCATTGAAGGGCCGAGATGGCTGGTGGTTCTTCCTCCTCACTCTTCTTTGGATATCTCAAATAAAGCTTTCCTTCACAGGGTTAGAAGTGTCTTTTAGGACTATGACATATACATTATACGGCGCCTGCTTATAGGCGCCACCTCATTGGCTGGGCAGTTCCCAGCATCTAACTTCATCATCTAACAACAGAGACTAGTTGTCCATTACTTTTCCTTTCCATGATTCCTTGCTTCTTTGTTTCTCTGCTTTTTTTGCTTTTCCCCCCTCCCCCCCTTTTGTGAGCTTACCGTGTACAGGTTAGGGCCTTCTCGACGACCTCGGCGATCCCTTGTTATTTTGGTGGAAAAGATCCGGAGTCGAGACCACAGGAAGCTGGCCTTCTTCCTCTGGACTGGATTTGTCTCTGCTTCGGGCTGGGGTTGGGGGTTTGGGATGGAAGGCTTGGACTGCGAGGGTTGGGTGGTCCGAACTCAGAGCATACAGAGAAATGGTCCTTCTCTCTGGCTGTCCTCGGGGTTCGGGCTGGGGTGGCGGAGTGGGAACTGGGTGGAGGACTAAGTGTGCCTGTGATCACACCAACCCCATGACAGGAGACTAAAGGGATGGCCTTACCCTCTGGACTGGACGGTTGCTCTTGTCATGGGGTTTCTTGCTTATTGCCGACTTACATTTGGGCCATCCAACAATTCCTTCGCACTCTAGAAGACCAAGGACTTTCAACTCTCGGCTCACTTGCTTTTCGGCATTTTACCAACAGAATGTTCCACTCAACAACAACATTCTCAGCTACTGGAGCACTCTATACGACACACCAGAGCTTTATTTAAATTCGACATCACGAGTCTAGCAGCTCCCTAAAAGGCTTGCTATTCGACCCAAACAACTCACTTCGGATTTTACTTATACACCACACACACACTAATCTTTTCACTTCCTCTGCTCGGAGGTTGGTACGTGGCACTGGGTGGCACTCTATACGAACACCAGGGTACCAACTTTCAAGCAATTCGACATATTTCGCCTCAATGGACACGCTGTACTCCCTAAAAGGCACAGCATCCATTCATCAACTTCGGCTTCTTCACTTCTCTTCCGCAACCCTCCCTGTCGGGTCAAAGACATGGGGCTCTCGCGAGCGGGCCGCGACATTCAACACCTCCTTGTGGTGTGGCCTGGGAAACATGCAGCTTCAATCAACTCAACTCTCACACTTGCTGCATGGCCAAGATTGAATAAACATGGACATACAGAATTCACATGTACTGTAATACATTAGATAGACAAAAATGCACTGTTCCATTCACAACTCACTGATTTCTTACTCTTGTTTCCTCTAAGTGATTCTCCTCTCCCCAAATTGTGAGACTGTTCTTGTGTTGGAGTAGTGTGGTCAATCACGTAGACATAAAAAGTGGTCAAAAGTACTGGATCTAGACAACGATGATATCTATGTTTGGAGATATCAATCACCATCTCTGAACATATACTTGTCTTGTGGTGTGCTCTAAGTCACAGATGCTTCGGACCATACGACACGTCTAGGAGGTGATATTCTTCTCTTAAGCTTTCTCGGTGGGGGGGATCTGAAGGAATTGTAGGTAAGGCGGTATTTTTTTCATGGAGTGTTTTCTTTCCGTCTGTATTGCTCGGGATGGATTCATGATTTGCGGCCACTTAAAGAAGTCAATCACTCCAGCCCCCAACATTTTCAATACTGAATCCTCGAGACATTCCGTTTCAAAGGTTTTCGTTTGGAAGATAGTAAGATGGTTTCAAAAAACTGGTTATCATCAAGAAACTCGAAGGCGATTCGTATCAGTGGAAAATTAGACACTTCAATAGAAATGCCCAAGCTTTTGTCTACTTTCGTGTGTCTGGCCAAATTGTCACAATCTACAGTTAATCTATGCCTGAAGTCTACGCCTGAAGCGCCATCTCCTCTCTGCTTCCATGACTCCCACCTTTCCACGAGTGCTTCGGGTCCACATTCTTCTTGATGTCCTTTGCCTCGCCAACCTTTCCCCATCCGCCACCACCAGGCGTACATACAATGATCCTCTCGCCTGCTTTCATAGCAGCAGTATTCTTCCCACCCATATTGATCCGCCGCTCCTCAAACACAGCTTCCTCGAGCTTCTCATCCGTGCCGTTGAGCATCTTGTCCGACCTCTCGGGATTACTCGTCTCCACTTTCCTCACCCAGATATTCAAGCCGCACTGTGCATCCTCGCCACCAGCGAGACCGTACGGGTGGTATACTCTCCGCTCACTCAAGATAGACACCTGCACGGGAATCCGGAACTCGATATCGCGTATCACTCCATCGCCACCGCGATGCTTGCCTGCGCCTCCGGAACCAGCACGCAGCGAGAACTCTCGCAGTATCACGGGATAGCGACGCTCGAATACTTCCGCGTCTGTGATGCGCGTGTTCGTCATATGTGTGTGCACGCCATTCGTGCCATCCCAATCCTTGCCGGCGCCCGAACCACCAGCAATGGTCTCGTAATACCCGAAGCCCTTCTGCTCTTTCTGTCCTTCGATGTTGCCCCCGAAGCCAAATGTCAGGTTATTGCAGTCCCCTTGGCTTGCAGCGCAAGCTTGGAATGCCTTAAGGATGACGTCCGTAACGCGCTGCGAAGTCAGGACGTTTCCGCCAACGACTGCTGCTTTGTCGGAGGGTGAGAGGAAAGATTTTGGTGGGATGAGGACTTTGATTGGTTTCAAGCAGCCTTGGTTTAGGGGGATGTCTTCCGAGATGAGACAGCGGAGACAGTAGATAATTGCACTGTAGGTTACTGCTTGAGGTGCGTTGGTGTTGGCTGTTTAGGTCAGCGAAAGTTCGGAATTGAGAGAGTTGAACATACCATAGACTTCAGGGCCTGTCCCATCAAAGTTGAAGACCGCCTCTCCCTTCTCGGCATCAATGGTAATCTTAAGCTTGATTGGGCTTCCGTCATCCATGTAGTCCACCGCCGAGAGATCCTGACCCTCAAATCGCTTGCTGACATCCTTCAGTAGATTCCGGACGCTCAGCTCGGCGTTTTTCTGAATGTTGATCATGTAAAAGTTGACAACCTCCTCTCCATACTCTTCAATAAGAGTAGAAATGAGATTGATGCCCTTCATATTACTCGAGATCTGGGCTTTCAAGTCGGAAATATTGTCAGCTAAACATCTTGTTCCGCTACATCCCTCATACTTGGCAGGTTCTTTCAAGAGGAGTTCTGTAATTCGATCCTCGTTGAATCGACCAGCACTAACAAGTTTCTCGGATTTGATCGCCGCTCCTTCTTGGTAGAGTTCTCGAGAATGTGGTGGCATGCTTCCAGGTAGAATCCCTCCAATATCAGCGTGGTGAGCTCTAGAGGCCACGTAGAATAGGATTTTCTTTCCGGCTTCGTCAAACGCTGGAGTGATGACGGTGATATCTGGAAGATGGGTTCCACCATATTCTGGGTGGTTTGAAACAATAACGTCTCCTTTGACCAGCTTTCCACGCCAGATCTCAGCTTGTCGTTTTACACATGTTGACATGGATCCCAGATGCACTGGAAGATGGGGTGCATTTGCCACTAGTCCGCCAGTCGAGTCGAAGAGAGCACACGAATAATCGAGGCGTTCCTTGACATTGGTGCTGACACTTGTCTTCTGAAGAGCTCTACCCATCTGTTCCGCGATGGCCATGAATCGATGGGCGAATATACTCAGCATAATGGGATCAACTTCTTTGGTGGTGTCTGGCTTCGATGACCTAGGAATCTTTAGTCATTGCATAAGTTCGAAGAAAAAGAAGCACTTACGCATCATTCAGTTCCTTCTCTCCAATGTTGATGACTACGTGGGTGTCAAGGATCAATGCCGCTGCACCAGGAGTAACGACGATGGTTTGAGTTCCATCTGCAAGAATTGCCGGGCCCTTGACCCTATCACCAACCTCAAGATCCTCCAACTTGTAGATCGGGGTATCATGTCGCTTGCCGTCAAAATATACCTTCGAACGCTTGTACTCCTTACCCCCAGACTTTACATCCTTTGGCTTGAGCGCCTTCAACTGCTGACCGACAGTCTTTCCAAGACCCTCAAAACTCTTTCCAATTCCACGAACTCTCACGTCATCCACAATTATATCTCTATCTGGCAATGTGAATCCAAACTCCTGTTGGTGCTGTTTTACGAATGCTTTTCCAAACGCCCATTCATCACCCCCAAACTCTTTTTCAACGTCTTCCTTCTCTGGTTTCACAACCATAAGTGCTGATTCTGTCCCACGGTACCGCATGTTCAAATACTCCTCATAAACGATCGAGCTGTTGTCAAATCCCTGCTCCTTCAGAGCTTCTCTTGACTTCTCTTTTAGCTCGTTGATCTTTTTCTTCAATTCGTCCTTGACCCCACCATCAGCCCAGACTTTAGATTCCGGTTCTTGTCTCTCGTCGACGACATCCGCCAACGCCATTCCATATGCTGAGAGTACAGATGAGTATCTATGAACAAGGATTTGTCGAATCCCAAGGCTCTCAGCAATTGCCACAGCATGTTGCCCACCAGCACCGCCAAAAGTCGCCAGGCGATGCTTTGACGTATCATGACCTTTAGCTTCAGTCAGTGACCGAATTGGTCTCGTCATGGTCTCATTAGCGACAGTCAAGAAACCATATGCCACCTCGTCAGCGCTCATATTTTTGCCAGTTTCCTTGTTGATTTTCTCGGTGAGCTCCTTTAAAAGTTTCTCACTTGCTTGAACATCAAGGCCCTCATTTTCTTTCTTCCCGAAGATTTTGGGGAAGAAGTCAGGCAGTAGGCGACCCAGGAAAAGATTCGCGTCAGTAACAGTGGCTGGACCTCCTTTCCGGTAGCAGGCTGGACCTGGATGTGCACCGGCTGATTCTGGGCCAACGACGAACAACCCATTTTTGAAGAATAGACGCGACCCTCCGCCAGCAGCGACAGTATTTATGTCCAACTGAGGAGACTGGATGGTAACGCCAGCAGTGGTCGTCTCAAAGACATGCTCGTATCTTCCAGAGCCGTATCTCGAGACATCGGTAGAAGTTCCACCCATATCGAATCCAATCACCGGGGTCTTAGTCTCAGCATCATACGAGGTTAGTGCATATCCAACTACACCTCCAGCTGGGCCTGAGAGAATTGCCTTCAGCCCAGAAAACTTGTCCACATCCACTAAACCGCCGTCACTCTGCATAAATTCACACCTCGCTCCCTTTGCTCCTTTCTCATTCTTCACACTCTCCGTTCCCAGACCACCTTCAAATCCCCTTTGGAAGCCCGCAATGTACTTTTTGATGGCTGGGGTGAGATATGCATCGGCACATGCAGATGTTGCTCTTGGAACCAATTTTATCATTGGCATCAGCTCATGACTTAGAGAAACGTGCTGGAATCCGATATCTCGGGCTATCGTGCCTACCAATGCCTCGTGGTTTGGAAACGTATATCCATGCATCAAGCATACTGCTATGCTTCTGATTCCTTTGTCATAAACGACCTGCAACTGTTCTCGAATCGTGTCCTCGTTTGGTCGTTGCAATACCCGGACAGCTTCGGAAGAAAGGCCTCGGACAAGCTCCGCATCCCCAGATTCCGAATTATGTTGCTCGACTTTGGTAACATTCCGTTCTGGATCCTCCGCATAGTCCTCAAGAGTAACCCTCTCGTTGATCTCAACCACGTGCTCATAGAGAACATCCGGCTTCTTAATCGCAAGATCAAAGATCCTGGGCCTGGACTGATTACCAATCTCCAAGCAATCCTTGAAGCCCTTCGTCACAACCATAGCAATCTTCTCCCCCTTTCGTTCTAGCAAAGCGTTTGTGGCAACAGTTGTTCCCATTCGTATCGACTCAATCTTCGACGTATCAAGGGGCTCGCCCCTTGGGATCTCCTTCTTGAGGAATTTGGACATGAGCCGCCGAATTCCTTCCAAGGGAGCGTCTTCGTAATTGGAAGGATCTTCGGAGAGGAGTTTGATGATTACGTCGTCCTCCATCTTGCCTGTGCCTGGGTTTCCGACGCAATCCGTGAAGGTTCCACCACGCTTGGGACATTGTTAGCTCTTCATTCAAGTACTAATCGAATAGGTATTATCTATTTCGCTTGTAAATGAAAAGACAACGAGACAAAACTGGTTAAGAGGAAGCACTGCTGATGTACACTAGGAAAATTGGCATGGCAAAACATATTCCAAAAGCAAGACAGGGGGTTAAGAAGCTCACGTCTATAGCAATGCGGATGCCCCGCTCTTGCGTTTGTGAAGCCATTTTGATGGCGAGATGTAGGAATTGGCTGAAGATTTCAATGCGTATAACAGATAAAGTAATCTTCGCAAACTTGAACAGCAAGGTTTCCCTCAAACTCCTACATTCGCATACTTAAGTACGTTTTGTTCAGGAACTTGCGCGGAGTTGATCCGCCGTGACAATGTGAAATCAATAACCCTGGAGCGGTCTAATACGGCAGTATGTCCCAAAGTGGGATGGCAAAGTGGGTTCTAAACACGTGATGGTAGTTTTCTGACCGAAGTCCAGTCTTGAAGGGCGCAAGTGATGATGTGGGAGTAGATCCCACCACTGCTTAACTATGGATTATAGATCTCAGACATGACATTTCTCACACACGAAGTCTGGGTCTGAAGGCTTGCTTCACCTCAAAGCAAGCAAGTATTGTTTCACTCCAAGCATATATTCTTAGTCCACTCTGCGAGTCTGCGTTCAACATTCAATCATGTCTTCTAAGATGTTTATTAATATGAAGCAAAGTTCTCCGATGGCTCTTCCAGCACCCAATCCAAAAGTTGGAGCTTTCCACCGAACACTCCCTCACTATGGCTACACCCCCCTTGTCTCTTTGCCTGAGGTAGCCAAAGAACTTGGCATTGGCCATCTTCTCCTCAAGGACGAAGGCTCTCGGTTGGGACTTCCTGCTTTCAAGATCCTTGGAGCTAGTTGGGCAACGGTTCAAGTAATTTCAAAAATACTCAAGCTTGGGTCCCCAGAACGACCCAACGGGGCGTTGTCTTCAACGTAATACTCTCCTTTTGCGGATTAAAATGTCTCAAGTTAGCTGATAACTCGAGAGTCTAGGTCGGGAGTTTCGTTGGAGAACATTGCAAAAGCAGCTCAAGAGGCTGACTTTACTCTATATGCAGCGACAGATGGCTCCCACGGGCGTGCGGTCTCTCGAATGGCGAAATACCTTGGTATCAAAGCAACAATACTGGTCCCCAAATTTGTTGACAGGCATGTTATAGCCAACATTCAGTCTGAAGGGTCGACGGTAGAGGTCTGTAATGGAGACTATGATCAGACCGTGCTTGCAGCCAAACGGGCTGCTGAAGAGCACCCGGATGGAAAAGGTCTTCTGATAAGTGACACTCCTTTAGAGTTTGGAGACGAGACGGCGCATTGGATCGTCGATGGGTACCAGACCATTTTCGATGAAATTGAGGAGCAGGTTGTTGGTATCAGCAGCGGGAAGGCTATTACTCATGTGATAATACCCGTTGGGAGCGGAAGTCTTGCTACAGCTGCGGCAATTTTCTTCTCCAGGAAGTTAGTCAAACCGATTATCATAACTGTCGAGCCAGAAGCTGCACCCTGCCTGAAGGCAAGTCTTGAAGCGGATAAGTCAACGACTGTAGATGTTGGATACAGTATCTGTACTGGAATGTGCTGTGGGACATTGTCGGCAAATGCCTGGCCAATACTGAAGGAGTGTGTAAATATTGCGCTGACGGTGGATGATTTGAAAGTGGACGAGGCCATTGTGGACCTCCGTAGGTATGGTGTGCACTCGGGACCTTGTGGTGCAGCAAGTCTTTCCGCTGCAAGACAGTTACTGGGAACTGAAAGCTTCGATTCGAAATCCATTGTGTTAGTTCTTTGCACTGAAGGAGCAAGGTCATATGAGCTGAAAATTTGAAGTTCCACCGCTTCGTGTATAATGCAATACAAGACGTATACGAAGTAATAAAGTTAATTCTAGACAGAAATGAACTATGCATCAATTACGCCGTTACACAAATAATCTCAGCAGGCAACGGAAACACCCACTCAGGTTTAAAGCCCATACAAAGGTTTCGAAGTACAGGCAATTGATATAATCAGCCTCTTTCTGACATAGTGACATAAGACCGGCGGATGAAGTCCATCTAGATGCCACTGACCTTTGTATCGCTTGATTGTTTTGGCTAATGCTACCAGCCGGGTCCCGAGACATGATAAATCATACCCACGTGACTTGTTCGTTTTGTTTCGAGAGTGCTTTGGATTTGTTTCTTCTTATCGGAATAATTGAGCCCGGCCTTGGACTTCGGCCGACACTGTCGCAGAGCAAGAAGGCTGAGACATTTGTGGTTCGAAGGCCCCTTGAAATATGGCCTTGCCTAGATGATTTGAAGTACGATGACGAAAAACAAAAAAACACAATTCGAGGGGGTTGTACAGTACATGCTTATGTCTTACAAGTATGCCAAGTAATACATAAAATACCTTCCAGCTCGTTGGTTTGGTCGGCGAATCTCTTGTTCGAATAGACCACGGGTGATTGATACGACGTCGTTTAAAATGCATACCGGTAGATTAATTCATGAGTGTTTGTACCATTTGACAGATCACCGACTCTTAAAAGATGGTCGGGAACAGCTCATCAGATAGAGGTACCGTCCACCTAGAAATGGCTTGCAGGAATGCCAGGAACGTATCAATCGTTCCTGCATATGCAGTGGCACTATCAAGATACCGCCGCAGCTGTTCCGATGCATTGAGAGTACGATTAATGATGGGATGAGAACTAGAAGGCGATCTGAGCGACTTCCAATATAAGAATTCAGGGCGACTAGGTATGCGCCTTCATGTTGCTGGGCCACATCGCGAGGACTACAGTACCTCATTTTCACGCGACGGATTTGGCAGATCAATGTGAAGAGACGGCGTAAAGCCAAAGCCACGCTCCCGGGATCTGACAACGGTTTTCTGTAAGCTGCATATTGAAGTTGGAAAAGGCAACACGCGAGTAGGGATACTTGGTATGAGGATCAATATGATACTTTGTATGCTTGCGCAAGTTGATAGGATTCGGGATGAAACTGACGGAGATGTGAGTAGAGGTACTATACCGTGGCGTTTATTCTAGAGAATCTAAGGATATACACCGTACCGGCACTGGAGTAGAGCAAAATAATGCTGAGCCCGTCGAGAAAGTCAGAAAGTTTAGCCACCGAGATTTAGTAAATAGCATCTACCGTCGAACCCGATTGGGGTTGTTCTGGCTCTGATCCTGCACCCAGCAAAGGCAGGAGAGCAATAAGGCAGCAGGCGGTCTGTACGAGTACGGCGAGAAAAAGGGGTAGTGCTAGTGGAGCTATTTGAAGTAGTCGGTGGTGAGGGCTCGAATGTGTATTGTTTATCATTTAGGACCGACAATTTGAATACAAAAGGCAAGACTAGAAGTGAAAGGAAGAATATGACACACGGGAAGAATAAATAGTATCTTCTTCTCTTCACACTCCGGACTCAGTACTGTACTGTATGTAGTCTGTAGTAGATGGCGGCCCCTTCCCTCGGTAGTAGCGGCGTTGCATCCAAATCAAATCAGTCGGGCCATTTATCCTTCTGGGTCATTCTTCTTCTTTGGGGAACCCGACACTGGAACTGGACTGCAATTGGACTGGGACGCAATTGGTACCGAAGGAAGTCATTATTACTGCGACTTCATCATATGGTACTGTGCACAGCATCTTTTACGACTCCTTATTCCGTACTGTACTGTACTCTACGAAACCCTTCCACTCCCCTCCTTTCCCCTCCCCTCTTCAGCACTACCGCCATCGGCCCCTGTGAGGTGAAGCGCTTGATGTCCGTCACATTTCTGGAGCCCCGTTTGTGTTCATCGCCTACCTACGCAAAGGTGCCAGTGATTAGGGAGAGCGGCTGCAGAACTTGAGCGCATCGACCACTTCTACTTCCATTTCCACTTCCACCTCCACCTCCGCTTCCTGGCGCTGGAAACAATTCGAATCCGGATCTGAGTCCTCAAATCCCCGACTTGGTCTACTCAATGTACGCGCCGCGCCGTTTGGAATAATACATCACAGGACAGTTCTACGAATCTCTCGCCATTTTCATCCGAAAGGTCTCGGGGTCGCGCATATCGCGGAAAGCTACCTACTCTACCTTGCATCGAATTCTCGACAGGACTCGAGTCGACTTGAGAGGCTCGCAGAGCAGAGCAGGGCCAAAGTCTACAAGATACACGATTGTTGACCGACTGATACTTTACGTCTGACAGATTGCGCCTTTTAAACTTTGAATAAGTAGGGTACATCCCGGATAGGCAGCCTCTCGCGCGGGGGTGATATTTTCTTTTCTCTGGCAACACAACGCCCCACGCATTCTCGTATGATATAGCCAGAACCAGAATCAGAGCAGCAAACAGGTGGCAACGAGTGGGAATTCGAACTGTATAGACTGGCCCTTCGAGGCGCAATTGTCAATCGCGGTCGACCTCCAATTAATGGAGAACTCCATTCCGGCCCTATTGACGTTAGCGACAGGGGAATCAAACACCTTGATACAGCATGGACTCCCCCTTCCATCCTTCTAGACAATCGTCCAGCAATTTCAATAACCACAACAATTTCGCATTCCCAGCAGAGCCGCCGCAAAGCCGTGGGCACGCTGTGCTTTCGCAAAGTCCTTTTCAGAATGCATCCCCACCTCGACGGGCGCCTGTGACTACGACCTCGACTTCGAGCACCTCACCCGAATCTCGACGACCCGCGGCGCATGCGCATCGACGTTCGAATAGTCTGACTGGTATGAACCAAGGCGTGGGAAATCTCAATCGCTGGTCTAAATCCTCAGTCTCCAGCGCAGGCAGCACCCAACCCACGCATAAAAGATCCAATTCCGCACGGAGAGTGTCATTGTCTGGCTCGACTACTTTCCTACTGGGTGCCGATACTACCTCACCCCCAAGAAAGTTGCATAAGCACCGCCCATCCACCGCGATTTCACCGCAGTCTCAATTTGCGCGCTCGAATTTGGATTCGACTCTTACACTTCCGCCCATCCTTACCCTGCCGAGTTTGCAGACGTCGGTGAACAATTCCTCTCCATTGACTGGCCCTACAACTCCTTCGCCATCGACTGCTGCAATACTATCAGCTGCTGTGCGTACGACTGTGCCGGACTATTTTGGGAGGGCTTGGGATGAATCAGCACCAAGGGGTTTTGCGGCGAATATAGATCCGGCAGCTGCTGTATCACTCGACGTGGAAAACGATAAACCCCCGGTAGGAGAAAGACTGAGATCCCGGAAGGGCCATTCCAGGAGTAGTGACCAACCTGGAAAGGGTAGTAGTAGCACAAACTCGAACGGAAATTTCAAGCAGCCCTCTCAGAAAGCCATGCTTTCCAAAGCTCTCCAGAAGGCGAATACGGCCGTATTGCTTGACAATGCGCAAAACTTCGAGGGTGCTATGCATGCGTATTCAGAGGCCTGCGCGCTGTTGCAGCAAGTAATGATCCGCAGCTCTGGCGACGAGGATAGGCGGAAGTTGGAAGCAATTGTAAACTGCCCTACCTTGGATGTTATAGATTGGCTTGCTAACATATGCAGCGCAACACTTATACAAGCCGAATCAGCGAATTGAAGAAGATCACGCCTGAACTGCTAGATGACGGTAGCAAAGCATTGCCCCAAAGACCTGAAAGTGAAGGGCGTAGAGTTGAGGAGCTCACACTGCAGGATGAGGACGAGGAACCTGCAATCATCGAAACTGCAACCGTGACGAGGATTGTGAACGATCAGTCCTACATTACTGAACCCGACCAAGCTAGATCAGTACCAACTTCACATCTACCGGCACGGAGAGAGTCTTTATTACCATCCGCATTGGGATCAATGCCATACCGGGGAAATAGCGCATTTAGTGAATATGACAGGTCACAGTCTAAATCTCCTATGAAAATGCGCATAAAGGAGACTAACAGCAACCTTGCTCCACCTATGGAGAGCCTTTACATGCCTCCACCACTTTCTCCACGCCGTCCAACGTCTCCCATGAACCATGCGCCTCAAACTAATCATACGAGGCAACATTCGTCTGATCTATATACTCAGACAGATCCTGGAGCTTCTCCATCGAGAGGGCATACGAGAGCGCCAAGTAATGAATCTATGTCATGGTTAGACACCATCGACGAGTCTAGCGGTTCTACTGCTTCCTCGGTTCATTCCAGGACATCTTCCTTGGGAGTACGAAGGAAGCGTATTCGAGCAGCTAGCGGTGCTACAGAGGCGGAATTTGATGCTGCCCTAGATGCTGCTGTTGAGGCGGCTTACGATGATGGCTTTGAACCGATGGGAGGGTCCGCAGTGAATCGTTTTGATTATGATGATGATGATGAGATTGTTGCGAACGTCCGACGAAAAGTGGAGTTGGCAAAAGAAAGGGTACGTCAAAGCGAGCGTGAAGCTGCTATTCAGGATGCACGGGACCGAGAACGCAAACGATTGCTTCTACAAGAACAAGCACCACAGAATACTTTTGAGGATGAGTATGACAACGAGTCCGAAGAGGAGGAGCGAATGCTAGAGGAGATGACTAGAGAGTATGTGATGGATGATTTTGAGTTTGGCCTGCAGTCCAAGTCGGCATTACCTCGAGGGTCCGATTCTAGTGAGTTTTCGGGGCGGACTTGGAACAGTTCAATTGGATCGAATCCGACTACAGCCGGTACAACGCTGTCAACCGTGGCCGAAACATCGATACCGAAACTACCCATACTTCAACCGTCAAATTCAAATTCAAATTCTATCCATCCGCCCCCAGCTCAAGCATTACCCCCACCCCCACCGCCGAATCCCGCGCCACAGCCGATAGCTATCACTTCGAAAGGTGTTCGAAGTCGGCGACTTTCTGGTCAGAATGCAAAACTTCTCAAGATTGAGACTACCTCAAAAACGTCAAATGGAGCTTTAACACAGCCTCCATCAATGCCTCCACCAAAAGTCCCTGAGAGCAGTTCCGTGCCCATTCAACCGAAAACTGCAGGTTTTCCGCAACAGCGACCAGCCGCAGCGTCAATTTCTGGGCGCCCACCCATACCCCAAGTTATTCGACAGGCTTCCTCTCCTCTCCCTGGCCCACATCCTGCCGATATCCAAGCGCCCCCAACCCCTACACTCACGCAATTCACGCAACTGACACAAACCTCCACGAATGAGACTGATGTCTTACCTCCCTCCCCAGCTCGTGCCCAATCCAGAGCAGGTATTCGTAAAAACTTTTCTTCGTCCAGTTTGAAGACTATGAAGGGTCGGAACTTGTCGGTATCCGTCATTGATGACGGGTCTGATATCTCACCAAACACCCCGAATTCGAGTTTCAACTCCAGGGACATGAATGGCAGACTGCCTGCTGTTCCAACCTTGCCAACGCCAATCTCAGCCGCTTTTAAGGACAAGGGAGCACCATCGGGAGGATTGTACTTGTTCGATAGCGATATACATTCCCCTAATAGCCCTGGTTCACCTAATCCTCTTAGTGCGGGTGCGCCTATACCTTTAGAGCCCTGCCCTACCGAGTTTCTACTTCGCCCTTTCTGGCTTATGCGAGCCCTCTACCAAACCATCGCACATCCTCGTGGTGGCTATCTATCTACCAAACTCTTCGTTCCACGTGATGTGTGGCGAGTCAAAGGAGTCAAGCTTAGGAATGTTGAAGACAAGATTTTGAGTTGTGATTACCTTACCGCGGCTCTCATGAAACTGGCCAAGGTCGATACATTCGATGCCGATGCTGTGCTAGAGGAAATGCAGTCGTTGGAAGGTATCCTGGAGCAAGTTCAAGCGACGTTGACAAAGAAACTGGGCAACGAGGTTGGTGTCCAGGGGTCTGGAGGCATGTTCAAAGATGCACCTCCAAATGGTGACGCGGAAACTAGTACCACAGCGCCCAAGTCCGGAAGCATGTCGAGCAAGTCGTCTTCGTTTTCATGGCGAAGGTTAAGGTCGAAGAATTCGGGTGTTGGGCTATCAAATGCATATTCGAGCAAGACTACGCCCACGGATTTGCCAAAAGAGGGTTTGACCATGAGTACCCTACCTATGACCACAACTTCTGTGGCAAAGGTGCGGTTCGCCAAAAGAGACGTGAGCGAGGTACAATTCTCTGGCCCAAATGCGAACTACATGGGAGCGCTAGCGAGGCTCTTCGATGCCGCGCAAACCCTAGGTAAGGACTCGAGTCTTCTTTTGCCTGAAACCAAACTAACAGAACACCAGATCAAATCGCACGCCAAGTCGAAGACCCAGGGTTACGTCATGCAGACAAGACGCAAGTCGGTCTCGAGCTCTGCACCCGCCACGCCGCGGAATTCTTTGGTTTCTACATCTGCCGCTTCGTCCTAACCGACATTGGGCTACTTCTGGACAAGTTCATCAAGAGGGGGAGCGAATGGGTGCTTGTGTGATACCCTATTATATGTACAGTTGCTTTTGTATTTTGGCTACCTAGGAGCATATTCTCTCGCTATGATCCCCTTTATTTTATCTTTTTGGTATAGTTTTTTTTAGAGAAAGAAGCAACGACTTCACGAACCAGATGGCGCTTTTTATTTTGTTGGGAGGCATGTTTCTTCTGTTTGAGCTTGATTGATACCACACTTATATGTTATATGTTACGTCTGCCTGAGCTGAGCGGCATTTGTATAGCAAGCAAGCGAGCATGGCGTGGATGAACTTGGGTCTTTTCTATAGAAAGAAGACTTGCTGAAGTTGCTGTATATTGAAAATAGAGAGCAATGAGGAATGTGCTACTGTTGCACGTTCATTATCATGTATGAAGTCTTGTTGTGGTTAATGATTGTGATTGATGATTAATAATTGACCGTGCAGTTGTGCTGAAAAGCCGCCATGATCAGTCAAATGTGATTCCAGTGTGCTGAACAAGCGTATCACTCCCGTAAAGCGCTTCGAGATCCAAGCAGTTGTATCAACGGGAGCTAAGGAAGACCGACTATCGAAGCGCCGATTTCTAGTATATACGGTTCAAAGCTGCAAGAATTCGTAAAGGCCCAGGGGAATAAGTCAATGCAGGCATTACGTTCACAAAAAGTTGCCTCTGACCCTGCGGATAAGCCGAGCTGCTCGACAGATTAGGAGAAGTTTAGAAGCTAGTAATCACACGTTTCACTCGGAGATTTTCTCACAAGACATCATATATATAGATTGATCTTCTTATTGCTCATAGCCCTTGTAGGCCCCTTTAGAAAAGACTTTTCCTGTTGTATCATGCCGCCCCGCCTAAAGCATACACTTACACTCACTGCATCTTCTCATGCGTCGCCATCAGTGAACCTGTCAGAAAATTAGTATAGATCTCAGATAACAGTCTATAGCAGAGGATGTGAATAATAAGCTTACCAATGAAAGTAGTAACCAGACGACTCCGAACCTGGCAAATATCCTCAGGTACCAACCAAATCGTGGCACCCATCTTTCTTGCAATACTAATGCTGAGCTTGGCGTTCATGTAGGCGTCATCATCTGATTTTCCTGGTGTGACTAATTCGTAGTCGACATAGCTGCTCTTCATTCCATTCAAGACATCCAGAAGGTAGACTCCGGTACCGATGGTCGAGTCCTTGAATGAGCGGATGGCGGAGCTCTTGCCGCCTTTTCGAACCATCTCATTCGCCCATTTGACCATCTCGGCATCTGAGATTTCGCGCTTTCCTAATCGCTGTGCTAATGCGGAAAGTGTCTCTGATATATCCTTGCGCATAAGTTGCCAGACTAGACCCAACGTCAAAGTACGTTGCCCATCTGTGATATCTGCACCTTGAACACCAACCAGCGAAAAGCGGTTTTGCTTGCCAAGCTCAATAGCATAGTTGGTGTTCTCGACGGCCTTGAATCTTGACATCTCGTTTCCATTTGTTGGAACCTTGTTTACATGTCGCCAGTTCACAGACCCTTTTACTACTTTGTCGTAGGCCTGTAGGAGAACAGTGCCGTCCCGTAAATCATCGTATAGAGAGTTGACTGAAGGCTGGACATCAAGACTGTTGAGCCACAGAGTAAAGACTCTTGCTTCTCGCTCACCCTCCGCATCGAAATCGTCCACCTGAAGTTTCTCTTCTTCAGTGATGGGATCTAATGCTGGGTGAGTGTTGAACAGGTTTGCAACAAAGGCCAAATTCAACTTTGGATTTCCAGCTACAAGGGACGTAGGCGTCAAGAACTTTCGGCAGCCAAGCGCGTCTGCATTTTGCAATACCTCTTCCGCTCTCTGGTGAAGATCTCTAGTCTGTAGTGGGCCACGTGTGCAGCTCTCTGGAGCAATCTGGGCAAGCAAGACGGTATAATTCTCTGCATCCTTTACATCGGACGAGAAATTTGCTACCCTGAGAAGAGTTAGCTGAATTCTACTTCTATAGTCGTTTATGCATACCTGCGAGGCCAATTTGCCGCTTTCAGGTGATAGTTCACCCACCGGAGCAGAATTTGCTCCGGGGGTAATCTCAGAAACTGTTCCAGAGTCTCGTCCTCTTCAAGCAGTCTGTATAATTCTGGGTGCAGTTTGATATCGATTTTTCCTAGTAACCCTCTTCGGATGACCTGCCAAATTAGACCTAGAATGAGATGCTCCCGAACTTCAATAATATCTCCGCTTCCAATATTGACAACAGAGCACCCGATACCCTTTGCAGATTCGATGACGATGTTGTTATTCTCCGACATGTGGAAAGCATTAAGCTTCTTGATTTTCTTCCCTTCGCGATTGAGGACACGCTCATCGATCGTGTCCGGAACCGAGTCATTGATCAGCTTAGCTAACACAAGTCCATCCTTGCACTCGTCGAACATCTGGAAGGTATCTGTTGGGAACGGCAAACGTGATCCAATGTCCGGATCACCGGCCAGGACCGCGTTGATGTGACGGGTGAATTCGGTTCGCTCATCTTCGTTAATGGTATGGGTGACGTTCGAAGAAGATCCTTGGACTTGAATTCGTCCACTGACACTTCCCTTGGAAGCATGCCCACCACCACCTGTTTGCTGAGATACCAGTCCACCACGCGCTGGAGATTGCGGGCCAGTCGACATGCGCTGTTGGGCGGGAGAGGACTCGCGGAGCTTCGATACAAGCTGGAAGACGAAATTAGTTCATGGATTAGACACAAGTGCTCAGGGCCAATTTACCCCAACATAGTCATCTAATTCGACTCTCCTGGAGGAGTCCAACTCGACTTCCTTCAAGGCCTGTCTAACCACATCGTACGGCTGTCTTTCGCTGGTCTGAGTGGCCTTGATGGCAGCAGCTTCATCTATGTAACCTTTATCGTCGACATCGAGTTTTCGGAAGGCATCTTGCAAGCCAAAGATCTCATCTTGCTTGAACTGAGGGTACTTCCTAAGCCGCGTGTCAGAAAGGATCAAATATGCGCATCTGTCTAAGACTCCTCAACTTACCTCTGAAGCTTGATTACGTTCATTCTGGCGGAGGAGCCAGTAGGGCAGATACAGTTGCGAGGCTCGGAATTGGGGTGAGTTGTTTATTGTTGGTGGTGGGGAGATGATGGAGAATGCGCCGAAAGAGGGGCAGGAAGAGGGGCAGGATAGATCGGTCGTTAAACGGCTGCTACTGCATAAGATTGATGTCGCCAGAGAACGAGTACGATAACCCGCGACAGTCAAAGGCGATGAATGGATTGGAAAGGGAAAAGGATACGACCGATATGGGATGCAGGTAAGGTAGTTGAAGGACAAGGAAAGTACCATCGCGCTGCTGCCCAACTCCCATTCGCTTGGCGACTGACAGATTTGACCCCGCCACCATCGATTTCGTCAGCCTTCCATCTTGCAGTCATAGTAACTATTTTACAACTATTCTCCCCTTTTAGACAGCACTTCGAAACTCGGCCCGGCCGGCGAATTCCTGGAGCCTCCTCCTCCTCCCTTCTTACGAGCAAATTCAACCATCCACAGCCTCTAAAACGCCACGACTAATCCAACAGTGCCCAAGGATTTACGCTGCAGCCTGACCCCGACCTCCCATCTTGCCCTCGCTGACGACAATCACCGATCGCATCCACGTCACACAATTCAGGCATCTGTCTGAAGACATAATGGCCTCTACAACCGAATTGGATCATGTCAAGGCCGTATGGCAGCATATGCGGTCGAACAGTCCTATTTACAACTTCCTGCTGTCAGAATTGGAGGTTGTATCGGCCACTAAGGGATCCGTCACTTCGCATCTCACCCTCGGCCCAAAACAAATGAACAGCTCGGGGACAATCCATGGAGCAGTGAGTGCTGCCATTGTCGATATGAGCGGAGGGTTGGCCATTTGTTCTCACGGACTCGAAAAGTCAGGAGCCAGTATAGACATTCATGTCACGTATATCGGACAAGCTCACGTTGGCGAGACGATTGCGATCGAGTCCACTGCAAACAAAGTTGGGAGGTCTATGGCTTTCACTACAATCCGAATATGCAAGCTCGTGGATGGAAAACCAGGGCCTTTGGTGTCTACCGCATCGCATACCAAATACATACAAAACGTCCAGCCCCGGGCCAAACAATGAAGGGGAGGGTAGTTAAAATACAATATGCTGCAAGAGTCCGGTTGGGTCTGTAAGGGTGGAGAAGGATTGCAGTTGTGATTCTTTTTATTATCTCCCTCTATAAGAGACATTCCGACTCTAGTTCTCTGAAGCATTTTCTTGGGAGGGAACAATATTATCGTGGGATGACTACGCCATCTTCTTTGAGCCTGGCATAGCCATCACTCTCTTTGAATGCTCGGGCTCACTCTGAGGGCGGAGAACAACTCCTTTGCTTTAGCTTCAGATGCCTGTCCATTATATAACGATAACGATATGGGTAATTCGTAAAGGGTAATTAGTTATAGAAATAGAAATAGACTTCCTCATAATGGATCAGTAAATTTGATTGATTTTGTAAATGTAACATTTTCCCACTGCGGCAAATTCTATAAAGGGGGGCGGATATCAAGCGAGGAAAATTTTGGTTCCCCGAAAAATATGTTTTGCTCCCTTTTTATTATTCCACATCAAGGTAATCAACGCGGAACATATAGCCACAATCCCTGATACTCACCAGAATGGAGACTTGCAAGATCTGTGCCCAGGAGCTGAAAATTGAACTCGAGCCTGATGATTTCGACGAGGCTACTTCGTCGACTGTTGGGGCTGGACAGACGGCTCCTGATGATCTCCTCCTCACGTGTGGATGCCATTTTCACTGGTATGTTCATATTTCATGGTTCTTTCTCTGGTTTACTATTATTATCTGCTTGAAGAGCCGCGGGTTGTGAGGTCAAGCTCAAACGAGTGGTTGTAATTGTTTGGCTACGAGATTGATATTGAGCTAGGGGTTATATGTTTTGGGACAGAGAGCACTCGCTTTGGGGCAGTTCCTTCTATTGACCCCGCTAGGTCTTTAACATGATATGACCCGGATACTTGGTGACGGGATGTCATCGATGAATCCATAAATTTCCAGTTCTATGCAGCCTGAGAGCCTCTCTGTCCTCTTGCGGAGAGCTGTCCACTGAAGGACTATGTACTAACTCACCATTATAGGCAATGTCTTCTAGATGAATCACCACAGATCGCCATTTCCATGCTATGCCCTTCATGTTCTTCCATCATTTCAGGTGCAACTTCTGAGCAACCTCAAGTAATCACCCGATACCACAATGAAGGCGGAGTCCAAGAAAACCTTGACATACTCCCTCTCATCACGGAAGAAGCCTACCTAGATGCCAACCCAACCGCAAGACCAGCACGAGCATTTTTGACAATGTGTGCCGAAGGAGATGTAGCAGGAGTTGTTGAGCTCTTGAAAGCGATCGAAGAGGACAGAGATGAAGATGACATGTCACCTGCCGAACTGCTTCGGTACCAGGACCCGCTAGATGAGATGAAGACCGGTCTGCACATGGCAATCGAGAAGAACCAACAGGAAGCTGCGTGGTTGCTTCTTTGGCTTGCCTCGAGTCTACCTACAGCCGCCTTCCCGGACGAAGTTACTCAAGCTGCGCAGGTGATGAATGCGGGGAGGGAAACTGCGGACGCAGCGGATATCAGGAGTTTGCGGGATGTGCAGCATCGGACGGCCGAGGATTGGGCACAGAATATGGGAGGGGTATGGGCTGGTTTGGTTGGAGCAGGTGTTCTTAGGGGGTAGTTATTGATGGGGAAAAGATGCTGGGCTTGCTGTTAATGCAAGAGAGAGCTTATTGATACAGTAACACTATGAAGGTATTGATCGGGCTTGCTATGTTGATAAGGGGCTTGTAATAGGACAGACTTGTTACGAAGTAGAAGACCTGCAACCATGCCATGTCATGTCCATGTCCATGGTGTCGGTGTCGGTGTCGGTGTCGATAGGATCCCGCAAGGCAAGGCGAGGCGTCGTGGTGTGGCGTTGCGTTAGCCGCATGACTTATTAGGCCGGTACTTTCGGGGTTCTACTTCTAACTTCTGAGCCTTGCAGTGACATCATTTTTGGAGAAGGAAGGTTAGAAAGATTCAAAGTAAGAGAAGTTTACCGGCTGTGATACGGTTGTCGGCAGAATATACCACATAATATCAAAATAATTGCATGAATATATATAATATATATAAATACATGAACATGAATAATAAAGCGGATACCGGCACTAACCTAACTTAACCTAATCTTCAGGGGTGATCCCGAAACACATACATGCATTATTGTGCCGGATGGGCCGTGGCCGTGGCCGTCTTCCATTTTCCATCGCATCCATCCACGGATGAAAAGGTAACTCTTCGCATCCGGTACGTCCTGATGAATGAAATACGGTAATACTCTGTGCTGGCACATCCCTTATGGTCCATATATTTCCAAGTATCTAGTATGGTATGGCACGGTATTATGTTACGGTAAGTTCCAGGCCGATGACCGTCACCTCATAGCTTGAGCATCTACAATAATAAGCATTGCCTTCCACGCGCATCCGGAACTCTCTT